CCGCCGCGGCCGCCGCCGCCGCTGCAGCCGCCGCCGCTGCGGCCGCGGCCGCTGGTCATCCTGCCCAGACCAGGAAGCACCAGGACGTGCAGCCGATCACGCTACAGTTACCACGTAGAAAAGGACAGTCCGCGGACGATGGCAAGGACTTCGCGTCGAAATGAAGAGCCAGGACTCGCGACTCGACCTTCTACCGCGCGCGCTCGGCGGAACGACGTGGTGCAATGCGAGGAAACTTGGTGTAGATAAACGTATCAGGATATCGATGGATTAGTTTCCTTCCTTTCTCTTTTTTTTTTCCATTTCAACGGGAAATTCTCGTAGGAATGGGAAAGACGCGCAGGAGAGGACGATAGGATCCGTTGTCGTTGCGAAGCGCGAACACGACAGGAGGTGTTCGGAGAGAGTGTCGTATACGTGCGTATGCATTTTGTCACAGACAACGGAGTATATTCTTCCAAATTCTATCGGTATCGCCTTACACAATCTCTATACGCTCGTTTTTAATCTTTTTCGCATCCTTCTCTCTCTCTCTCTCTCCCCCCTCTCTCTCTCTCTCTTTCTCACACACACACACACACACACACGCTCACACTCACCCACTCACTCGTTCTCACATTCTCGCACACTTTCATCCCCCCTTTCTCTCCCTCTCTCACACATTCTTTCTGCTTTGGCGCGTTATATATTCTTGAATCGTAAATTTCTCATTAATATAAAACACGTATATAAACATAGACTGATTACATCGGTGTTTACAATAATCTACGATTAAAAAAAGTCTTACATCGTTTTCGTTCATCTCCGGTATACGCTTATGCGAGAACATTCGTTTGAGATAAATTACACGCATCGTACGCGTATATTTCAAGTGTATGTATATGTATGTATGTATGTGTGTAGATATATATATATATATATATATATATATATATATAAATAACTATTATGTATGAATGTGCAGTGTCGTAGAGGGTACCCAGGTACATGCGCTATATATGTCGAGGATTTTCCTTTGAAAAATACCTAAATCTTACGTTTAACATACGAACGTGAAATATTCGCTTTGTACATTTTAACGCATTCGACGAAGGAAAGTTTCTTTGCGTGTGTCGTGTTTTACATTTACCGTCTCGACGTGATACTACGGAAATAGATAAATAAAGAGAGGCAGTTGTAATCGTTAGGTAGCATAGCAATAGTAGCAGCGGCGGCAGCAACAGCAGCTTCCACCGATTTCGCATACGTCTCTTCATCGTGTTTTAACGCGCGACGAACATCTTCAAACAATTATCGACGTCTCGATCGCGGGTCCAACGCTGACCAGGAAGTTGATCGTGTTTTCGATTAATTCTCGTACGCGATCTGTAATTTAGTCGCGACTCACACACACCCCTCGACACGTCCTAATCTACGCGCGCGGTTACGGATCTTTTATTATTAAAAATAACGAAAAATAAATAAGTATAAATAAAGTATTTTACGCAGAGAGTATATCTCCAATGCGAAACCGAACTTTGAAGATATGTTCTGGTGTTGAAATAAGTGAAAATAAAGATTTTGCATACAAGTATAGAGACGGGAGGACGCTTTCTCTTTTGCGAACCTGAAGTTACGACTTTTTTCACAAAATAGTTAGATCGAAAGGTACGAAGTTTACGTGTGTAGCATCTGCTTCCGCCTCAATGCTCCCGCGTCGTCGTATCGAACGACGTCTCCGACATCATTTCGAATTTCACGTGTGTCTAGACGCCCGCGCTCTCGAAATCGCGAATTCAACAACAAGAGTGTGTTTTTTAAGTATCGGAAAAAAAAAAGGAGAGAGAAGAATCTCGAGAAACGTTCTCGACGTCGTGTTCGCGATACGAAGAAATCACGTGCAACGAAAAACGTCGAGCGCCGTCGCGCTCACACATGTACACACACACATGCACACAATTCGCGTCCGTCGTCCCTTTATAGCGTTTATTCGCGTTTTAGATTCGACGTTTTTTTCTCCTTTTTCCGACGCGACTCGCTAGGGTTTGCGCAAGATCGAATCGCGCGTGAGATCAACTCTCTATAAAGGTAAAAAAATATCACCGAGTCCTACTGCTATTCCCTTCCGTCATACGTTCTGCGGTGAAACCGCGCTCAAAACTGCCGGGAGACGCGAGAAATAATACTGATATATATATATATATATCTCTCTCTCTTTCTCTGCCCCTCTCTAAAACTGGTTCCTCGTACGTGACATGTCTTTTTGCGTTGCTCTTGTACTAAGGTTTTACGGTAACGAACGAGTTTTGAAACACCAGCTACGATTACGTGTTGTAATATTCTATGCGTACGACGAGAATCTCGCGTTTAGAATCGTCATCAACATTTACGGCAAGAAAAATGCTGTTAAATTCGTTATCACGTAGATAGACACATCGACCTTACGTACGCGTCACGCATTAGGAAGCAGCGTGCGCGCGTAGTATATCAGTGCGATCGCTTGGGAAAAACGGCCCCTCGAAATCGGCCGACGCAGATATCCCGGTATCAAAAGTGCCCGCGAACAACAGATCGAAATAATATGTGTCGGTTAATTGTACTCGTTTAATTGCGTTTTGCCGATATACGTGACGATCGCGCACGGTCCGTCGCGTCCACCCCGATGTACCTAGGTTCGTTTGTGTGTCAACCGGTCGTCTGAGCTCCTTCCTCGCTTGCCGGTGTACACGTGCTGTCGCTCGTGCGTTCTCTCCTTCGCGTACATAGCCGGCGATTAATTGCCGGTAATTACATGTATCGCGGATGAGCGAGCTTATCGCGAACGAGCGAGCGAGAGCAGGGAGCAACGCGACTTTTGCGCGACGCGCGCGCCCGCGAATCTCGTATTATATATACGTATTTTTATGTGTGTGTATGTATGTGTGTGTGTGTGCATATGTATATCTTTACGAGTACTTTTCGCGACACTGCACCGTGTATATGTGTATATTGATCGTGCGAGAATGCGTGTTTAGTGTGCGTGGGTACTTTGTACAAGATACAAACGCACGCGTGCCGACGCGTGCATAGGAACGTCGCTGCGCACTTGTGCAGCGATTATGTTTCTCGCTTGAGTGACGATTGCGTGACGACACGCGAAAGTAGAGACGAGAGAACGTCATCGGATTACTCACTATGTCCATCCGGGAGACTCTATCTCCCGCCCCTCCCCCCCACGGGAATGAAAAGAGAGACGGGGAGTCGGATTAGAATCGTTTGACTAGTCGCTTAACCGACGGGTTCGCGGGGATCCGCGGGCGATCCGTGAGAAACAAGTAACGATCGCGAAGAAAAGAAGTAGACGCGTCGCTTTGCGAATTATCGCGATATATCGTTCGGCCGTGTGATCGCACCGAATGAGCTGTTGCGTTCAAAATCAAGCCACTATCCTCGCAGTCTTGGAGTCACTATAGGCATGTCGGCGCGCGTACGATTGACTTTGATTACTTTACGAGCCTTCACCGATCGCTAAAGTCGTGTATCGCTCGACACAGAGCTTTTTATTTTACTTTTATTTTACTTCACTGGTTTTTTTGTCTCTTTTTTTTCTATTTTTCTTTTCTTCCTTTAATTATTACATAACTATATATTCTCGGTATCGTTTCTCAATAACTTCGAAAGTTGCTCTACGACCTTCCTCCCTTCCGCGCTCGCTTCCATGTCTCTCTCTCTCTTTCACACACACACGCATGCACGCACGCACGCACTCATTCGTACACGCATATATTCTCTCTCTCTCTCTCTCTGTATCTATCTATCTCACGCCGTGTTATAACCTTGGTATAATCTTTTAAAGCTTCGTTTGGCACGTATAATTAGAATGTTATTTTTAGTTCACGGAAGAATTCGATTTAATGTAATCTCTCTCTCTCCTGTTCTCTCCTCCTAATCGCCCCTAATAATCCTCCCGTACTCCCCGTCCTCTTCGTTCGCTTCGCTCTCACTCACCTTTTCGTTATTACATTTAAAAACACATTCATTTACAGTTTTACACTTCGCTACGTCGTAAAATTTACATCGAGTGTTCACATCGCCTGCGGTTCGGGCGACGTTACAAAGATTATCGTTATCTTTTCGATATTTTATATACTTAAATAGGTTCTTGTGCGGTTTAGCTTCTTTTCCTTCATCTAACCCCTCGTCGCAACTTCGCCATCGTCCACCCGGCTCACCGCTTACTCTCCTCTACCTCCGTATGAGAGAGAGAGAGAGAGAGAGAGATAGAGAGAGAGAAAGAAAGAGAGAGGTTTCCGGCCGCTTGAAGGACCGAAGGTGACGATGGCGAACGCGAAGGGCACCGGTATACGTCCCGAGTATACCGGAGGCGTAATACAATTCCGAGCACGCGCGACGACGCGTGGCTCGGAGAGATATTAATAAACGTTATATTCATGGCAGTATCCACGTCGCGTTACTTGCGAAGCTCGGAGACCGAGCTGCAGTGCGTTTTGACTAGCGTTTCGCCAGCCGGCTCGCGCACCCCGTCGACGATGCGAACGTCACCTTTCGCCGAGAGATTCGCGCGATCCCTCCGATTCTCCGCTTTCCCGTCGAGCGAGACAACGGTTATATCCAACAGATATTCTTGAGTGTCGCTGACTATCCGTGAACCGTCGACGAGCTTGACGAACGTTGCCTCGTTCGAGCGACGTCAGGTGTTTCGCGCGATGCTGCGCGCGCACGGAGAACCGTCATCGAGAAAACGCAATGCTCCCCCCCGAGAGAGGTTCGCGACCCAAAAAAGGTGAAGAACCACTGACCCATTAAGAATTCACGCGGCCCGATATAGACAATCGATATGCGCACCGTCGAAATTCGAGATTATCCGGAAATATTGCAGACAAACAAATCCGCGCGCGGTCTCTCAGCGCCCCGACACGCATTCCGACGATTACGTCGCTTGTTTACGCCGTTCTGCGCGTCGCAGAATCGTTAACCCCCCGACGAAGGGTACATCAATTCATTATTAATTCTTTTTACGCGTTAATGGACACCGACGTAATTGCAACGCGGCATAACGGCGTTAGAGCGTTAAACTCCGACGTTACGTCGAGAGAGAGAGAGAGAGAGAGAGAGGAAGGTAACCGAATCGTTCTAACGCGATCGCCAATTAATTAATTCCCGCTGAAAAATGCAGCCGTTTATAGACAGCGCTGAAACGACACGCGGTCGTCGAGGGGTTAATCTCGCCCGGCCAACACCGACGAGAGAGGCTCTCTCCCTTGGAGCGAGAGTACGAGCGGCCGATCGGACGTTCGTCACGCGCGATACGCGAGCCTGGAAGACGTACCCGCTCGATATCGATAGGAACAGGACGGTTTGGCAGCGCCAAACCCACCGTCGCGACAGCCGCCGGTCTCCTCGCTTCTCCGTTTCATGCGCTCTCAGAAACGCGTAAAAAGGGGAAAAAGTAAACAGCGATATAATAATAATAATCATAGTCATAATAATACTGCAGTGTTGTTTCGTGTGTATGTGTGTGTGTGTATGTGCGCGTATGTGCGTACGTTTTTACGTGTACGCGCGCGGTCGTTGACTTCTCAGATGTGGGGGGGGAACAGCAACGGAGGGAGAAAAGTGATGTGAAGGTTAGCCCCGATGCTAATACTCCCGGTGTTAGTATCCCCGATCGACCGCGGCACGGTACCTGCTGCGCCACTTACACTTGAGAATTCTCACGTAGGTTCTGCGGAAGGCCGCGTTGCACAGCGCGTAACACATCGGATTCACAGTACTGTTGATGTAGCAAAGGTAATAAGACATGTCCCATAATTCCCGCGGTATGGAGTACTGGCAGCTGATGAGGGGCTTCACGAGGACCAGGATGTTGTACGGGGTCCACGTCATTATGAACGCCAGCAGTATGGCCATCAGGGTCTTGGCGGCCTTCTTCTCCGACTTCTTCTCCGACTTTTTCTCCGCTTTCTTCTCCGCCTTCTTCTTGTTCAACACGGCCTTGTCCACCTTCGGTATGCTTTTCGCGTTCAGCGGGATTCGGATGTCCGGCATTTGCGACGGCCTCCTCATCACCGTAGACGGGCTTGCGCCGCCGAGGCGAAAGACCTTGCCGGCAGCACCGCCGCCGCCGCCAACGCTGATACCGCCACCGACACCGCTGTCGTCTTCGCTGTCCTCCATCATGCTGTGTATCTGGATCGACATGGAATCGTCGTGAATCATCTTTATGCTGGCCCCCTCGCTGTACTTGCCGCCGTTGCTCGGCAGCTTGATCAGAATCGTATAAACCTGGAAGCACAGCGGACACAGACGCGTATGAAAAAAGAACTCGTTAAGCGCGAAGAATGATTGTAATTGCTCGAGACAACGGTGGCACCGGCAGCGTTTCGATATTCATGGCCAGTACTGACTATCTATAGTATACATAACACAGACTATAGATTTTTAGTATCAGTACTGGTAGTGAATTTCGGAACGCAGCCATTATCGTTAACGCTAGCGCACGGTGACATTTTCATTAACCCTTTCGCTACGTTCGCTCTCTTCAGAGCGGAGAGATTGCACGAGTTAGTCGAGTGGCTCGGCTATCATTCTACTTCTCGAGAGTGTAGTTTCACTCGACAACTTCGGAGAGAGGGAGAGCACTATGATGGCGTCCTGAAAAATCGCTTAGCGGGAAGCCACTGCAGTGTAGTAGCGAAAAGGTTAAAGTAAGCAATGGCGGGGAAAGTTGTGCGGTTTAATAAAGTACGCGGCCCTGGACTAACGACGCTCGAACAGGACTTTACGTACGGAATCGCTCGTGATGGTCTTCGTGGCGAGATCGGCTGGGCGCGCCGACCTTCGGTAGTCGTGCAACGCCGCGCCCTTCTCCAGGGTGACTCCCGTGACCTGAATCGCGCTGAGGGAGGGACATTGCGACACCGTGCTGGGAAGTGGCGTCTCGGCCGACAACGGCGTCAGGGTCTCCTCGTAGCCGGGCCCAGTGCGGCTGCTCTCCGGTCCCCCGATCTCCTCGTCCTCGTCCTCGTCGTCTCTTCCGCTTTGCCACCACGCGATGCACCACATCTTTAGCCAGGTCCAGGAGAACGGCCTGTGCTGTTCGTCGTACAGAGAAGCGATCACGAGCCAGTCGGGGCAAGGCCGGTCGATGTGGGGCGTGACTTTGCACTTTTAGCGCTTAATGTGGGAAATCTCGGGGAAAATTCCAGGAAATTACGTTTGTGCCTGACATATGAGCGACTTTGACGAGCGGGATGCGCAGCGTGCAAAGTTATCCCCCGCTGGTGTAGTCGTGCGCGGGTGTTTAGGCGGTTTACGGTATGATTACTTGATTACTTACGCCATTATATTGCGGGTAGTGCTTATCAATGTAGGAAACGGCAATGTGCGTGGCGTGCGAGGCTTCCTCGCCGGTGCTCGACTCGCTTCGCGGTCTTTTACTTTCCTCCATATCTAAAGCTTCATCGCTACATGGGAAACGAAAGAATGAGTGTTTTTCCCCTAGCCGAGTAGTGAGCTTCCCGAGATACAACGTACTAATCGTCGTTAAAACCGGAAAAAGGGAGGGAAAGGCGAATCGAGTTTTGAAATAATACCTTACGCTCGCTCTCGTAAAGTATTTCATTCCGCAACGTTCCGTCGTACAGATTCTCGAAACAAAAGCAACAGGCAAACCGCGATCTGCGGTAAGCAACAACGCAAATATGGAAAGGCAAAGGTAACGAGAGAGCAGGCTTCGTCTGAACTGAATGTTCCATTTGATATTCGAAAGAGGGGGGGGGGGGAATAAACAGTGTGGGCAATTAAAATGATATCTTTACGCGTAGGTGGGATGATTGAGTGGCCCAACAATACTCATTAACCGGCCATTCATTGGTGCGTCTACCCTACTTGGCATCGTGAACCATGAGGTCGGTCTTCCGAGGCAATGCGTTACCGTCTCTTGTGCAGGGGGTTTCTGGTGACGTGCTGACGACAAGTTCGGAGGGCAAACAATTGAAAGCGTTAGTTACCACCTCGAGTTGCTGCGCTTGCTCGCGTCTTGCTTCCCGGCTTGCAAGTTCGGCAGTTCCTTCTGCCGTTTCTCCGTCTCTTTCCATATCCGCCAATACAAGATCATCATTACGCAGACAGGAACATAAAACGCGGCGATGGCCGTGATGAAGGTGACGTAATGATTCGTCTCGATGAATTGAATGTAACACGCGGTTTCCGGCACGGTCCTTTGACCCTCGATGAGCGGCCAGAGGTAGATAAAGGGCGGCCAAAGAAGAAGTGAAAACCCCCAGGCGGCCCCTGGAGAAAAACACGACGATCGTCATATTCGCACGGTCTACTATTCACTTTTTACGACCCGTGTGTTGGGATCCGTTGCAAGAACGATATTTACAACAACAGAGAATTAAAATGCAACGTCAAGATATTGTCGCCGATTGGCGGAAAATGATGGATAAAAAGTTGCAATCAGCCGTGCGATTAATCTCTCATCCGTTTTCTTCTTTCTCGGTAGCTGGCACTCACCTATCATAACAGCGGCTCTGCAGTTGGTTCTCAGGGCCCGGTAGGTGAGCGGGCGCGTGACGGAGAAGTATCTGTCGAAGCTGATCATGAGCAGATTGAGGACTGACGCGTTGCTCGCGAGATAGTCGAGGGCGAGCCACAGGTCGCACACGTGGGACCCGAGCGGCCAGTAACCAAGCACCGTGTACATCGTGAAGAGAGGCATGGAGATTAGGCCGATCGATAAGTCGGCTACCGCCAGGCTGAAGAGGAAGTTGTTCGAGATCGTCTGCAGCTGCTTGTCGATCCTGATCGATACCATGACCATTATGTTGCCGACGACCGTTATGAAACTGAGGATGACGGCGAACACCACTATGAACACACGCGTCAATAGCCCGTATTCCGGGGGCTCAACGCAGTCCAAGCCGTTGCCGACGTGGAAGGTTTCATTGGTGGGGAACTCCAGCGTCGAGGTAACGTTCATGTCTGTGACGGACTGATCTCTCCCCCTCTCCCTATCTCTTCTCTCTCTCTCTCTTCCTCCTCTTCTTCGTCTTTTCCTCGTTTCCGCTCGTTCTACCCTCGACCGGCGAGGCTACCGGTTCGCACCGCGGGCGACCGCGCGTCCTCTGGTACCCTCGCGTGCGATCCGCTCGACTCGAACCCTGATCTTCGGGGTGACGCCGCCACCCCCGCGATACCCTCTCTCCTTCGTCCGGCCTCGTTCGCGTTGGTACGGTGGAGCGCGCGTTCGCCCACGCGCTCACGCCCGCTCGCTCGCACGCACGCACGCACGTACGCACGCACGTACGTACGAGCGATCGCGCGAACGCCACGCTTCCGGTCCTCCTCGTCGCGGAATACCTTCGGCGAACGGTAGCGCCTTCGCCGGTGCTACCGTCACGATCTCTTCTCTCCTCCTCCGCCTTCTTCTCCACCTCCACCTCCTCTTCTTCCTTCTGATCCACTCTTCCTCCTCCACCTCCCCTTCCGCCGCCTCCTCCTCTTCCTCCTCGTCCTCCGCCTCCGTCGTCGTCGTGTTCTCGCTAGGTGGAAGGTAGTGTCAACTACATCCCACGCTTGCTCCTCTCGGCGGAGACATCGAGTCTGCGAGCAGAGACAGTGCTGATGTACCGAAAAATCACGTCCCCGTGGCGCGACGGTCATCAACGAGAGAGTAACGTAAGATTAACGAACGAAGGTGGACTCTACCAGAATCGAGCGGCTCGGTTCATACGTTTAATTCGACGCCGGGTCGGTGAGAAATTCAAAGTGGACATAAGAAAGAAATTGGCACGAAGGAAAACATACCGTTTAAAGGTAAGGCAATTTGAGGTAATTTAAATAATAGGAAGAATCACGCGTGAAATATCGCTCTTGTCGTTCCTTGGTTGGAACACTGCGCGACCTTGCTCGACATACGATTGCCTGTTTGTTCGACGCGAGCGCTCGTTCCGCGCGACGGACTACCTGTCTTAATTCTCGGCACATCGTCAACACGCGCTCGAGCGTATCTAATTTAAAAAGAAGAAAACATAAGGAAGAAAAACGGAGGAGAGCGCGAGAGAGTTCTTTTGTCGTAAGGCGGGCCGCGAAAAGCGCAACCAATGCCGCGGGGCTCCGTTTCCGCCGTCGGATCCGCAAAAGGCGCGCCTTTCTCCCCGACTTCTTTAACGAGCTACTTATTCGCCCCTCGCGCGAACAAGACGCGAGCGAAAATAAAAACGAGGGAGGGAGAAAGGGGAGAAAACGGCGTTATCAAGCTGTCGTGTACGCGCTTCCGGGCTTCACGCGAATGATAATGCGCTACCCCGCGAATCTCGCGTGTGTCAGCGCGTATGACGCTTATCGAGGCCGGGATAATGGATTATCGATGATCCGACGTTTGACCCTTTTCCCGTCGGTTAACCGCGATAACGACGATTCCGAATTTTAATCCCGTGCCAATCGAGACACCCTCGTAATTTCCTCGCGCGAGAACAGGCAGCAGTGTGCTTTTCCGTTTCGGAAAGTAACGAACAAATGATTCCTGACATTTGCTGTTCGAGAGGTTTGCGTTAATATAAAATTTGCCGATCCTAACGCAGCAGCCGCGAGTATAAACACACGCGCGGATCTTCCGGTGTAATACGTATTACACAGCAGCCGGGACAACAGCGCGGAAGATGTCGACGTAAAGTTTCGGGCTTGTTATCGTCGAAAATCACAATTCGAACGGAGTGCTCTCCGCTCGCGTCCCGTGTCGGCGCCCGCCCGATGCAAAGTAGAACGCAGACCTCGTGTAGCGGCGCACGGCGCGGCGCTCCAATTACGGACGTATTTCACTTAACTTGCCGACTGCTTGTCCCGTAAACGCGACCTGGCCTTAATACGCGTAGGAAATTTTGCGAGTGTTAGATCCGCCTGTGTAGCGGCGCATCCGAAAAGGGCCGTCGCCTTCTCTCCGCCAAGTCGGTTAATTTGAGCAATTAACCGGCTATAAAATGCAGACTGCTCGCGCCTCTTCCTCTCTCTCGATATCTCTTGGAGGATCAAGTTTTTCAACAAAGAGCAGCCAAGAGATTTCCTGGTCAAAGGACGTGCTTTCTCCCCCTCTTGAGTGTTTGTTGTACCAGCTTTCACTAACATTCGTAACTTTATAGATCAACCCAATTGTATCGGCGGATATTAAGAAACGAATCAAGAGTAATTCTCGAGTAAAAAGCGAGGATTCTTCGGCCTAGACAGCTCGTTGAAGCGACGGATCTCGGCGGGAAGGTATCGCTCGTCGCTGGGAAACACGCGAGCGGAGGAAGGACGTGGGAAATAACGTACTCGATAACTGCCATAACTGCGACAGATTCCTCATCGAATGCGGCCAGTTCGATATCCCTGGCGAGGCGGTCGAGCTGCGGCAAGGGCGTGGAAGGATGCATGTTGCGCCAGGTGTGCAACGCGATTACCTCCCCGTTAAGTGCGCATGGCATGCTCGACGCCTGTAATTATAGAAACGCCAACGATATTTAAATCTTTCGTGAAAGTCGCGCGAACACAGCGGGAAAATTCATTTTCTTCCCGAACGAACGATTTTTTCGCGAGGCGAGCGGGGCGAGCTCCAGTTTCAGCTATCTCGAGCTCGCAAATCGGTTTGGAAATCCTCTCGCGCGCCGGATATATTTCGATAAAGAGAATTATGCACCACTCGTCTCTCCTACGGCGGTCTATCATTCCAGATTCGTACACAGCGCGCAAATGCGAAGTGAGGTTTAAATAACGTATCTTTCGCTCCCGATCTCCTTGGATTTGCGCAGAACCCTCAAGAGAAGCCCAGATTAATTTCTCTTTCCTCGGAGAACGGAAAATTGCCGAGGCATCAGCGACGGCGCCACGACGCGCACGTATCAGATACAATGGCGTTTACGTTGGTCGACATTTACCGCGGGAACAAAAGCCCTCAGACTTCGTTGTTATTCGTTGGTATTAACGTTTCCGCGACTGTGTGTTGCTCGGCAGCGAGTAGGCGCGAACTTCGGTATCGAGCTTCTCGTAACGCGAAGGTCGAACGGCGTCGTGTCCGCCTCGAGATAATCGGAAGCGAGTGACGGGACGTCGTTCGAAAATCGATGCGAGCTTGTAATTTTTACCTTACGTCTAACGAGGCTTTGAATTGTTCGTCTTTCTAGGTAGCCTCGTTTGCCGCGCACAGATAGAGTTCGTCGAGTCGGATCTCTTATTAGAGACGCCTTTAAGATATCGGAAACACTTCATTTTAATCACTTACCAGTCAGGCTCCTCCCCCCCTCTCTCTCTATCTATCGCTCGCGCGATATATGTAATCCAACGAGACGAAGAAGAAAACACGTATACGGTAAAAATGAAGAAATTTCAAAAGGTGTAAACATATTGAAATTGTACGCAGTGAGCGCGGGATTATTTTGACTACTAAAGTGCAACAGAGCATTAAAGATGGTCCCAAAAGCGGCATTTAAGTCTCAGTGGATGCTTGCCAAGAAGTTGGCGGTAGTATTACTACGGCGCTATCGCTACTTTACGCACTATGAACCCCACAAGGCTTTTTACGGGAGAGCCAACTGCATCATCGGCACCTAATCTCCCCGCTGTCGTAAAGAAAAGGAACGTGCGGTCATCTGCTTCTTCAAAGATTTCTCGAATTGCACGTACGTGCCGTCCCAAAAGTGCCAGAAGCGTTTACACACAGAGGAAATCTCATGTGAGATTCTTAATTATTACATATTTCACACTTGGATTATATATTATTAACAGTAGCTCGATGGGAAGTATCGCCATTAATCTCCATACGTATTCGCGCATCTTACCCAGTAAGCAAGAAACATTAAATCGATCTCTTGAAACATTGATTTCATAAACATTTGACATGATATTTTACAAGTGTTTGTAAATCGTTATTCGATAATATAATATTCTTAAATATTAAAATTATAGTATAGAAATATTACATTTAACGTCTGGATCGAACGTTGTTAACAATGACAATAATAAGAACTACGTTTGAAAACCTTACATATTATATATAACGTCATTGTAATAACGTTGTGTTAATGATTTTCTACTTGCTGGGTACACACTTACATGACGACGGCTCGCTCCTCCACCCGCGGATTCGCCAATCGCCGGGGTCATCCGAGCTCGGACTTGGGGCTCTCACGAGGCCCGCGTCGATTCATTTCAGGTAGCAACGCGTATAATCGTTACACGGTGCGCGCGTGTGTAACTATAGTTACATCGCCTCGTGTATCCGATCCGGTGGAGAACTGACGCGACAGACGGTTGCCAGGTGGTAGCTCCGCTGGCTGACCCTACGTCACGCGACCTGCTCCATAAATAAATATAGAAACGCATAGAGAGACGCGGTCTCGTTAACGGCATGCCTCGGTATAACGAACACTGGCCTTAATTAGTTTGTTAATACGCTTCAGACGATTCATACGGGACGCTCGGACGCACGCTTGCGCGCGCAAAACTCGTATCAGTATGCGCGATTCGGGAAAATGCTAACGAAGCTCACAGCTCAAGACGTTACCGGGCTCCGTAAGGAGCACGTCGCTGCTTCTTCTTCGTCCGCGAGCTCGCATCCCGGCCGGGGGATGATTTAGCGCGCCGTGGCGAAAAAAAGGTCTCAGAACCATCTGGCCACCTCGATACAAGAACAGCCGTCGTGCTCTCGCTAGAGAGCGGAAAATAGCACGAGCGGAGAGAAAATCTCACACCTTCACTCCGCGGAGCACTCCAGTCGAGGTATTAGACCCCAACGACGATTGTTTCCGTTGTACTTTTTCTTTTTAATAGTGAGAAGAAATACGACAACTGTCGCTGAAACGTGAGTTTCCTTCCCGCGAGTATTACTCTCTCGGAAGGTGTCAAAAGATTGTCGTTCGAACGATGACATCGATTGCCCCCCTTTTTCGCGATTTCGCCGTCTGAGGAGCGAGCAGTCTTGAGATTTAATTGCGAACGGCTAGGCTAGGTACGCGTTTACGGCGAGGGCAGTAAAGTAAATTGGAAGTGAAATCGTCACGGTGGATCGGAAACTTTAGCGTTTGTCGCTATCCGAAGTACGGCATTACGGGAGAGTCTGTAATGCCGTTTAAAATAATAACGAGGGCGACAGCTACGGGTTGCAGCGCGCTGATAACTGCACGGCGCGTGTGCGCATTCATCGCGGACAATGCGAGCGATCTTTTAAAAGAGATCGACTTTGTGTTCTCGCCTATACACAGCGGATGGATGATGAGTATTAAAATCACTTACGTCACACCTAGCGGTGTTCTCCGTTAAGTGGACGTGCGCGATTATTCGCTACCAGGATGCGTGTCTAATAATACGTAATGCACAATGTTCGTCCGTATCGCGCGATCGGACGTCGAAGTCGCACCCACGTGCTTCACTCCGCTCGCCCGGAATATCGCAGGCCTTCCGCGCCAAAGAAACTACGCGTTTTCGCGGGAACATATTTTCCCGAAGCGCGATATTACGGTCGTTTTGAAAAACAACGAAGTCGACGGTACTTTCGGTAATTAACTTTGCCTTCGATGCACGAAGTTGTCGAAAGGCTCGAAGTGATGTTCCTCCCCGACGAGAATCGCTTTGACAATCCCCGTTATTAATATCTACCCTTCTGATGCGCCCAACTGTTCGCGATGAGATTCACAGCGGTGCTCTTTGCACGACTCCGCGCGGCGATTTTCCATGAAGCAGCGGCGACAGAAGAGAGCCTGATACTCGGGGGATACACACCGTAAAGAGCAAATCCGTTATTTCTCGCATTAGCGCGAAATGTTGATCCGGGAATTCAGTATTGCCGGGATATTTATCCTTAGGAGGATCTGTAAATGCTCCGACTCTCTCGCGGAAAATGTAAAAATAATGTTTCAGCCGCGTGTAATAATGTAAACACTTTTATCGGCTATCGATTTCGGTCGACCTGCGCCGCTTCTTTTATTACGGGGGATATATATCGGGATACGTGATAGATGCGGCTAAGTCTAAGCCGCGATATTAACGAAAGTCGATCATCGGCTTTGCGGTACGCAGCTTCCTGCGAAAGCCAGTTTTCGATCGGCAGCGGCTGCTCTGCTTCGCGCCTTCGCGATTAAATGATGCATCCGAGAAGCCGAACGCGCGGACGGGCGCGCGCGAGCGCGCCTAACATAATAACGACTAAATGGAAAAAATAGCAGAAGGTCGTGATCCACTTATATACATCTCGGCTTATTACGAGGCGTTACAAGCCAGCCGCCATTGCGGCTGCCCCGGCGCTACAGTTGAACTATAAATAAATTTTCCGATACGCTGCTCTTTTTGCCGATGAAAAAAAATATGTATGTACATGCACACACACATTTCCTCCTTGAATGTGTGCACACGCGTACGCGCGCATAAACTGCGATTAACTGTGCACATTTTTACGGACTTAATGATTGTCATTATAACGTCGGCCAATCGTTCGGATTCGCCGACAGGAATCGTTAGAATGTCGTTCCAAAGCGCGCGACAAAAGTCTTGCACGCAGCGCGAAGAGACCGCGTTTTGAAAATCGAAGTCCGCCCGAATGAATTACGCAGCATATCGAGGCCGCCGTTAATAACCTTTGATATTTCATTAATGAAGAGAAATAGAGAAAAAGAAAGAGAGAGAGAGAGAGAGAGAGCACTTCTTTGTTTCGCGCTCGAAAAGGTTACGAAGGTACGTAATAATAAAGTGTGTTACTTCTCGGACGTTAAACATTTCGTCTTCCTCTCGAGTCGGAACGCGCGCACAGAATATAACTAGATATACTCGGGGAATAAAAATTAAAATATGAGAAACAAGAAGTAATCAGAAACGAAAATTAAAGTAGAAAACAAGATTCGTCCTCGCGCGCTTTCTCTCTCTCTAACACAGCGCGCCGCGCCCTGTACATTCGCTCACCTAGGAGAGAAATTTCGTTTCCACTACGGAGTTAATTAATATTTAACTTAGTAATATAATCAACTATATTGATTATAGAGTTGAAATTGAGCAAATACTAGCTAAATTGGGCAAAAACTTTGGCATAATCATGGTTGTATGTTGAAAGCATGCCGTTTTCTCCCTAAAGCCGTTGTCGCCGCCACTTTCCTCCGCAGAGAGAAAGAGAGAGAGAGAGAGAGATATTATAAAAGAAGGGTCCCGATTACGTAGAAGGAATGTTGTATCAATCGTCGCGCACGGCTTCCCGTTTCACCGGGGTGAAACAGGTGGCACTCGCTATTACCGCTGCGGCTTTTATTACATTTTGCTCGCGAGTAGACATAAATGGGACATGTCGATCGAATTACTTCTAACGCGCGCCATACCTGACGATGAGGCGACTATGTATACATATATCGGCGCGCAGCGGCGGTTAGGTCGGAGACGTCTCTTAAGAGAAAACGGTAGATGTATGTACAACCTAATTCGGTAGAGTATAACACATAGTCGCCGGCCAGGTATTTCTTGTCGATATACACGGTGCAGCGGAAGTCCCCGTGCACTCTCTTCCTCTCTCGCTCTCTCCCATTTACGAATTGCTTCACTGGGAACGGCAATATTTCGGCTGGGTTCCCTTTCAGCGACGATTTATTGGGGGAACGTTTACACGACCGCAACATCCGACGCGAAGGTGACGCGAACGGACGAACGTAACTTGCACGATTCGACGGACGTCGTGCGATAAAAACGCAAAATGCTACGTTACTGTGAAAGTGGGATCGAGAGAATCGATGGCGTTTCGAGCGTAATCTTAAAATCTACGATCGCGTCGCCGCTCAATCTTTACACCCTTTGAGAACTCGAGATCGGGAGAGAGTACGAGCGATTTCTGATACACCCTTTCTAGTATCGCGCCAAAGCCTCGCCTTTGCGTCAAAGAACGAAGCAACACCTTCGAGACGCGTAGGAGATCGAGGTCGGGGCATTATTCTTTCTTCCGGAATACCACGAGAGACCGACGAACCTCCGGCTTCTATTTCCTAATGGAACATCAGCCTGCAGCGCCGTTTACTGCGATCGCGATTAAAAGGCGTGCTTCCTCCCGTTCGCGATGCAATTTAAGCTAACGCTAACGGGCCGTTTGTGGAATCCAAACACCGAATATTTCCTTCGATATCGGACAAGCCATCGCGTATATTTCAGTGTGTACACGAGGGTTATTATTTCTTTCTTCAAAACAGATTGTGCCCCAATAGAAGCAATAAAGAGAGAGGAAGAAAGAGAGACTCAATGGTACGAAATTATAAAGATATTTAGTTCTTTTGTTAAAAGAACTAAAAGTTGCGCAGAGGGAGGCATTATCATTAACACCGGTGAAGTTGTCACACTATGCTGAAAGGCGAGACAAGCGACAGATTGTTATCGCGCGGATTATAATAGCCACGTTCTCTTCAGCTGCCACTTTCCGCGCTTGTCTACACTTTTCTTCTCGCTCCCTCGCTCCTCTCTTCCTCTCTCCGCTCTCTACCAAGCGTGAAGTACAATCGTTTCACTTAAAGCGCGGAGAGAGTGTAATAAAGTGCAGCTGAAAAGAAGGGGACCTAATGCGAGGTCGAGTCGGGGAATTCAAAGCTTTCCGTGCGATGTGACCGGAACTGCAATTGCGGTCTGACATCGCGCGAAATGTTGCGTCTTCTCCCGATTTGATCTAGCATTGCGATTTCTCACTGCAGTGTTTGCCACAAATTTCCAGAATTATCGATACATTTTTCCCCACATTTTTCAATTAACGTAGAATATCATAGTGAACGTATTCTACACATACCTGTGCTAATCGCGTGAAAATTTTCAAGTCAACAAGGATAAGGAAAATCAATGCAAATAACACACTTATGTGCGTGCGTGCGTGCGTGCGTGCGTGTGTGTGTGTGTGTGTGTGTGTGTGTGTGTGTGATAAATATATAGGGTCCCTCGTAAGATTATATGTATACATATAATAACCATGTATTATCAGGAGTAAAATATAGGCGCTAAAAATATCTGATATAGGAAGTGGAATATCGATATTTCGATGCTATCCAAGCATCGGAAATATCGATAAAATCGGCGGATTCGCTGGCGATTCATGGCGGAGATGACATAATGGCAGGAACAACGACGAAGTACGGTGCGCGATAAGAGTGCTATAACAGACTTACGTAAAACCGGAAACGTATCGCCAGCGATACCGATGAGTCACGAATTACAAGCGGAAGCGCATCTCCGCCTCTGCAGAGATAAGTGACGAATTAAACCGCGAACGGTCGCGCGAGTGCCGTTTTCTCTCCGAAAAAAATTATTTCCTTCTTGTCGTGCGACAGTAGATATCAAAATGCTACTTCCAGATCACCGAGATTCGGAAGATTCAAAAAATTACGCAAAAAATCCATAAACACAATGAAGCATGATAAAATTAACCCTTTCGGTACATTTGACGAGTGAGACTCGTCATCTGCTTACTTTGGCATAAAATGTATTACTTTTACATATTAATCCATATAGCGACAAATTAAATCCGTCCCATCGGCATAAAAATCTTCAAATTATTCAGTACTCAAAGGGTTAAAGAAATAAATTTTTCCAGAATGGCTTTCAATATCTGGACCAAGTTAAATCGGGAGATGATATGATTCCAAACCAAAATATCAAAATCAGTGTTTTTCATATAAATGTAAGCATTTTTTAAATTAAATATTTTCTCATTCAATATAAATCTTTAATTTTATTTTTGGATCAATTACATAGCCGAGAGATACAAAATATTTCTGGATCGAGCTGACAGAGAGATGAAAAAAGTTTTTGAATCAAACATATTAGGAGATGAAAATATCGTACAAATCATCAAATTTAAAACAAATGTACTTAAAAAATCACCTCCCAATTTGATTTCAAAGATCACCTAACTCCTTGAATACTATATATTTCAATTAGATTTTTCTTTATAATGGAATACTATCCAAAGAACCCAAAAATTTTCCTGGATCCGTTGCATTTTCTTCTGAACTCATTGTTATACTGCAAATTCAATTTCTTTTATTGATATAAAAAAGTGGTACCGCCAGGATACGGACCTCCGGGATTATAGGCTAATTTTAAACGAAATTAAAAAATAGATAAGCATTCTATATAAATGCAATAGATATTTTATTAACAAAATTTCTACAAAATTTCTAGAAATAATATCATGAATAATGAAAAGTAATGTAAGAGCTTATCAGAATATTAATGTCTAATAATATACACATAGTCTAATATATACAAAGTATAATGTATAGTAGTACGTACATACATAGTATAATGTATAGTAGTACGTACATGTGTGCCTTGTCCAAAAGTAATTGCTTTGCCAACAAATTTGTCAACTGCATGATGAGTCTTGCAAGCCTGTTCAATAAGTATCTCTATAGGTAAGCTTTTGGTCAACTTTACACAGTTCATCTAAAACTTCTCCGAGTTCCTTCTCTCGTAAGCAATGTATTGATGCTTCTCTCTCATTTGCGAAGTGAATATCCAACAGAAGAACAGAAGTTATCGCGTCTAGGAAATACTTCTTAATAGTAAATGCTTTGTAGTAATACTGTGTCAGAAGTTATGTTAAGGCTCGGCTTGAATTCTCCGCATTCCATTTCAATTCAATAGCAATACCAGAACGTACTTTGTATGTAGTCATATTCAATTTATTCGAATTTATGATCAACTGATTGCAACAAATGTAACCTGCTTTAAACAATGCAGATGTCACTATTGACTCTATTGTTACATGGTTCAACAGATGCTGTTCGGACAAATGAACTCAGCTTCAAGCTTTCTAATTTTTTTGTGAATGTTGCCTTATTTTTATAAGCAGAATTGTTGACAGTTGTCGAAAGAAAGTCCCATATTTATCGTGTATATTTTTTATCCAGATCATATTTTAATAAAATAAACTGCTAGCATTTACCTAAATACTTCCTTTACTTCATCATTTGATCGTAGTTATTTTGGTAATAAAACTTGCTTGTGTCTTTTTGTTGTTTTAAATGAGTATATTAAATAGCCTTGAGGCAGTAAAAAATGCTGAGAAGCTCAAGATAGCTGCAGCATTTAGAGGCTAAAGTTATTTTCTGCAAATCCACGATATTGTCTTCGCTTATTGTCTCTAAGACCTCATCTTCTACATATTTATTTTGTAGCAATCGTTGAATTATTATTTCTTTAATTTCTTCCGTTTTGAACAATTTTTTAAGACGTTTAATACACATCCACTATGTCACCAATAATTTTGTCAACTTTCTTCTTCTGTATGTGTACTTTCCAGGAACCGTATAACAGAATATAGATTGTAGATCTGTCGTTCCTCCATAATTTGTATAATATTAATCATATTTGCGAAATGCCTTCTTCTGCAAATCTTCAGACCAGGTTTCAAACAACTTCTCAACTTCATGGAATTTTATGGAAATCATAATATCTCATGCATGGACTCTTGTTTCCAAACTTGCATCGTGCTTACATTACCTAATAAGCTAGAAATTCTTGTGCCAAACAAGTCCAAGATTCCAGTAATTAATCTATCAGTTACGTTATTATCGTTATCGTTCAGAACGTTCCCAATTATATTAATGTTTAAATCAACAATAGTCTGTAGTTCTTTTTCTTGGACTGCATATAGTGCTTTTCATGTAATTGAATCAAACTCAACTATCATGTAATTGAATCAAACTCAACTAACTCAACTCAACTATTAAGACAAAAACTTTTCTCTCAAAGAACTTGTGCAAATATTTAGACAAGTCTTTGAAACAACTAGATACTTCATCATCTTGAAACTCCAAGAGAAAAAGTTGCACCATACATATATATAGGTTTTCCAAAACGACGATGCGTCATTATCATTACTACACCATCGTCATCTTCAGACAAATGTTTTTCTACAAGAAGTGTTTTATCTACAAAGCTATCTGATCACGTAACAGTTTCAAATGTCGATTTAATGCTAATGCATAGTTTCTTTGCAGTTGGTTCCTGTAAACAGCAAACTATCAATTAGTAACTAACAATACAAAATGATCGTGTATGCCAATGGAGAACACTATTCAGCTTACATTGTTCATAACACAGTGCTTATTGCCTTTCATTATTAATCATTATTAATAGTCTAGGACTTGGTCCATTATCTGAAAGAAAGAGAAGTTGCATATACATCATAAAAAAATATAAATTAGTCAATCATGAAATTTTTCTTAAAAATTAAGAAAACAAAATAAAATTATACAGCTACAACTAATGTATTAATATATAGTTTTTTAAATAGGAAAACAGAAAATTAATTTATGAAAAATTAATTTATAAAGGTGAAAGCTATAAATATTTAGAAACAAAAGCAAATAAGTTGATAAATAATTTTTTGAAAAATTATTAGAATAAATGAATAATATATATAAATATAAATTAAATGGAAAGTAATCAGCCTTCGGACTAAGATATCCGAAGATGTATATTTACAAATTTGAAAACATTTAATAAAGAATTTCCTAAATTTAAAAACAATTACTTTTTGTTTATAAAAATATTCTTTTGAATATAATAAACCGTTTTTATAATCTTCAAAATTTCTATTTCTCTTTAATACAAGTTTTTTAATTTTTTTAAATTCCTTAGTTACCGAATTATCTGTTATTTTATAAGAACATATTTTAGATCTTAATCTTATATATTGCTGTATCATATTTAATTCATTTTTTAATTTTCTTATTATTTTTTTTTATTTTTAGCAAAATATAATTGAGAAGCGCGCACAAGCTTTTTAGATACTTATAATTTTTTGTCATATCATGATCTTTAGGATAATCTGATGTATCAAATAAATTTATATATATATATATATATATATATATTGATATATATTGATTTATTAGTACTTTCGTTTTATAGTTATGAACTACTGCTAAAGTTTTGCTAAATTGTTTTATGTTTAAAATTAGTTTTATTGGTAAAAATGTTAACATTAGATATTGCAATAAAAATTTTGAAAATGATAATTTAATATGTCCTCATTACAGTAGATTTATCATTACATTAAATTATCAAAAACAAACAGTAATAATACATAGCAATATTACGGAAGGAAAATAATAATATATAATAAATTTCATACATGAAATAGATACTTGTATCAAACAAACGCAGAAATCACAAAAAAACGTAACTGAACAACTGTCACAATTATTTTACACTACAGCTGTTATGAGTTCTTCTGCTTTCTATTCACAGATGGCGCGCTCAGTAACTTGTTTGTTCATTTTAATAAATATTCATGAATTATTTCTTGCACGCCAGTGTTTTAATTCATCAATTCTTTTATTATATCTATGTATATACAGTATTATTTATTTGACGATCAAACATACATTTCCTATAATCTTAAATTCCTTTGTAATTAAAAAACAATGTTTTGAAAATTGAATTAAATTCTTTTAGTTGCATTACAAGAATTCTGTTTACAGCTTTTAATTCAACTATTAAATACTTTCATAATTCCTAGACTCTTGTATATTATTTTACGACACATGTGGGATTTTTTGTTATAAACATAAGAAGATAAGAGTAAGTATACACTGATTTTCGTAGTATTTTGATTTGAGGAAACATTTCTTGTTTCAACTTGGTCCGAAAATTAAGATCCGTTTTGGAAAAATTTATATTTTATTGAAATCTATATTTTCGTAAACTTTATGTATTTTCTGCATGTTTTTTTCTGATCACCCAAATTTGAATGATCTAAAATCGTTATTATCTCTCTTGTGTGGAGTAAAATATGAAGGTAGGTTAAAAATATTTATTATTACATGAATTTGAATACTTTTATATAATTTTTATACGGTTCTTAGCAATATTTTAATGATTTTCCATTATCGTTGATCCAGAAGTAACATTTTGATATCTGTACGTAATACCTGAAACGATTTGTGTCTACGTCCGGCTTACATGCTTATATTTAGCGATCTAATTTTTTTTCTGCAATATTTAGGAAATATACTCTTTCCCGCTTGATATCGTGCCAACGGTACGATACATCTTTTCACATTCTCCAGTTGACGAAAGAACGACAGGAGAGGAGTCGAGAACGATGAGTCGCATATCGCACAATCAGCTTGTGAACGCGAGCGCAACCGGATCTAATAAAGCACGTCGCTGTATAATCGATTCGCTTATGGCATTCGATACTGAACGACAACGTGAGTATCGATACGCTATTAACGGTTTGCCAATTAGCGACAGCATACATGTCACATATGTATCTGCTCGGTTCAGCCTCAGATGACACACGATTGAACGTCTTATTTTTCGTTCGATTCATATCGCGGGTATATGAAGGGCGAATACGGATCAAGTGGAAATAAAGTCGTCGCCCATACGCGAGTGCCATAACTCTCGGAGAAATATAGGCACCATTCGTTTAAGTGCGACGCGACAGCCAAAGTGCCAGAACTTAAGTATTCCCGGTCAGGAATCGGCGATTATCTATTATTTTATACGCGCGCCGAGTGATTCGCGATGTGTGTACATAAATGCCCCTCCCCGTACACTCGGTGTACATATGTGCACATTTAAGCACACGTACGCACCACGCGTGCATGCACACACACACACGTGTGCGTACGCGAATGCTTGCAGAAAAATAGCGGCTCGGGAGCACGTTGTTTTAATGAAAAACGATATCCTCCACTCTCCTTTGCCGGTTATTCTCGAGTCCCTCCGCATGCTGAAAAATTCTCACGTACATGCCCCTCGTCAATAGCGCGGAAAATCTCGCGTGCGCTCTTATAGAATAAACAACTGACTTGCAGTTGGCGTGTTCCGCGAGCTGCGATACGCGTGTGTATCGACGATTGTGTAACAGATTGAGTTGTGTAACAGAGGAGAGATCGCGTTGTCTTCCCTGCGAGACGTCGGCACGAATTAGGTATACGGTTATTGCAAACGGATATGTCGACGAAAAGTTTCAGCTTCGGCGGAGCTCGCGCGAGTCGAAATTAATCGAGTGCGTTTAAGTAGACGGCGCGGCTGATCGTAATGCACGCGTCACGCGATCCAATTCCGAGTTGCGTCCGATAGCACCACGATCTATTGATTTCGACGTGCTCTACGTTCGAAAACTCATAAATATACCGCGAATGTGTGTGTGCGCGCGCGTTCTAAGAAACTCACGGAAGCTTCAGCGTTGTCATCATGCAAGTAGCCGTTCACGACGATCGGCATGCCAAGATCTCACTCTGTGACGGTGGTTTCCTCTCCGCTTCGAAACACTTCCGTGTGACAAGCTCAAGATGCTGACCGTATTCGCGCTTGTATCGACATCGTTAGAGAATTTGAAATATTAAAGGCCGCTCTCTCTCTCAGTGGAGCGGCCGAAGTTTGCCGAAAGGTCCACCTTTCGGTGAGAATCTCGTGGCACACCTAAGGGTCGCTCGGAAAGCGCCTCTTGGAAAAAAAAACAAGAAAACACTGCTCGGGGATAACTTGTCGGACACGCACTGTGTTATATATAAATATATATATGTACCTCCCCGAGACTTATTCCGACTACACGCACACCACGCTCGACCCCGCGGCGAACTCGCCCCACGAATGAATTCACCCGACACGGCCTCGCCGTTACGATCGCTAAACGGGCCCGCGAAAGCTCGCCTGTGTGTACGAGCCGAGCGAGACACGACTAGCCAGGTAGTAGTCGTCGAGAAAGTAAACCACCCGGAAAAGTAGGGTGGCTCTCGTCCGGCAGCGTGCTCTCGCCCGTACCCGCCCAACGCGAGACGACACGATCTCTGCTCGGCTCCGGAAAGTCTCGAGCTACCGTTGCTGCCGATAATCGCGTCGCGTGGCAGCCGCGACGAAGAGAAAGAAAGGGAAAGAGAAAACCTTCTACACCCCCGAACAATACTCGCCCGTGTCGAGTGCGTCACGCATCCTCTCGGCGGTGTTCCTGGCACGAGGCGGCGGCGGCGGTGGCGACGACGGCGTACGTGTGCGCCTGGCCTCGTCCACGAACGAGGCGAGGCGAGATGAGGCGAGCCGAACCGATCTTCCCTCTCGGTAACGCGTATCGCGCGGGAGCGAGCGACCACCCCTCGTTGCGGCGCGATTCTAACGGTGGACGATCCTCGCGCGCTGCGAGGAGTCGAGAGCTCCGCTTTTCCGCCGCGCGTCTCGCCCGGAGGAGCGAGCAGACGATCGCTCGGGGGTGTGAAGGGCGGACTACGGGGGTGGCAGCGGGGGTGAGAGAAGGCACTCTTGCACTCACATGTCTGTCGTGTGTAGTCGGTGCGCGCGCGGCGTACCCCCGTATCACCGATGGTGAGGTTCGTGCGAATACCGGCTCGGGCGCGCGGTCATGATGTCGCGATCACGGCGTCCGCTGCCTGCTTCTCGTCGTCAAGGGTTGCCTTTCCTCTGTGCGTGTCGCGCGACCGACGACGATCCGTCAGAGCAGAAATCGCGACGACGTGGACCCCGTTAGACTGTCGCCGAACGACTGACAGCCGCGTAAATGGGTACACGCATGGTTAACGCGGCCCGACGCTCGGGGCGGGACACAGACGTACACGCGGCTGAGCGTGCTCCCGAGTGAAGAGAGTGAGAGAGAAAGGAATTTAGATAGGGGTGGCGAGATGAAAGGGAGGGAAAGAGAGATATAGGCTCCGGTGTACGGGCTGTGGGAGAAATCGGAGGGTGAGAATGAGAAAGAGGGAGAGAAGAGCGCGCGCGTACGGGAGCCGCGTTAAACACGGAGGGATGCTCGCCACGCGTAAATCGCGAGCTCGCCGATGATGCTGGCGCGGGATCAGAGTAAAGACTGGAGATGGAGATGATGGTGGTGGTGGTGAGCAGAGAGCGCCTCTCTCTCTCTCTCTCTCTCTCTCAGACGAGGGAGGTAATTTAAGCCCGCTCTCGTACGACTTTGCCCGACTGACTTGTTCGAGGGATGTGAGCGACGGAGAGAGGTCGTCAGAAGGGAACCGAAATGGAAAGAGAGAGAGAGAGAGAGAGAGAGAGCGGAAGAATGAAAAAGAAAGGGACGAAGAGATGTTCGGAGGGGGCTGAGAGAAATATGGAGGAACGAGATAGAGAGAGAGAGAGAGAGACAGGATTAGAAATGTAGTGGGGGAAAGATACGAGAGGGAGGGGATGGATGATTGTACCCGAGCGCGTGTACGTACGTGTCCCAACGCTTGTGTGCTGCGTGACGGTAGAGTAAGAGAGACAAAGAACATATGGAGAAATAGAGAGAGAGAGAGAGAGAGAAGGGAACGATAAACGGCACTGCACTGGCAACGTCCGCGCTGGGACTACGAGGCGCACTAAGGGCGTGGGCAATCCGCGAGCAGGCCGAACGAGCGCGCGGCGGCAGCCGACTACATTGATTTTGATTTTCGAAGGCGCGCGCACTTGACGCTCTGGACTGGATCTGCCCATTCATACCGCTCTCGCCTAGCATCCGAGGACATTGGTCCTGTGCCCCTGTGCAAAGGGGAATGAAAGAGTCCGGTGCGTGGCAGGCGCGGCTCTTAGGCGTATCCTGGCGCGCGCGACCATTTCAACTCGGCACGAATCGCCCGCGCTTTCGGATCATCGGCCGAGCACCGGCGGCGCGATGATCGCGAATCTTAATAATTCAAATCCGACAATAATATTTGGTCGAAGACGTTTGAGCGCACAGAAAACGACGATATTATTGCTGTCGTATATTGTGTAAAATGCTGTCGGTTCTTTTTATAAGATGATCTATCACATTATCGACCTGTCGTGTCTGTACGTAGATGATGTGAGGAAACATTTGCACACGTGGTGTTTACAGAAAACGCGCAACTGTGATTATTTTGATGATCATTTAATAAAGTATTAATTATGATTCGCAGGTCCGACATGTCGGTCGTTTACAGAAATAACAAATTAGAAAAGAATTGCAAACATCAAGTATAATTTTTCTGAAGACGAGTTCAGATAGGAATAGCGAATTAGAAACTTACAGCAGTTATGAGTGTGCAACTATCACATATTATAGGAAACAATCAACTATATGACAGAAGGCGTTAGAGTTTTTAGACGTCACGTTCGAAGGAAACCTTAACGAATGACAACTTTGCTTTTATGTAATTAACGTCATTTTTAAATGTTGACATTTATACGACCATTGAAGAGAGTCATTCATTGACCGAAACACCTGTTTATTTGTTACGTAGTTAATTATTTCTACAATATATAATTGTTGCGCATTGACAACCGCGGTAGAATTGGTTAGGTTATTTCCGCTATCTTGTAATTTATTGGACACATACATCTAGTAATAGACATACAAGTCACTTGTAATGCGTTATCGCACAATTGCGATATTAGACGTCTTACACGAGGCGGTACCAAATATACGAAGAACTGAATAATTGGTGCATAACGGGCATGTTCCTTTACACCACGTTGATTCGGTTTCCAGCAGTAGTCAAGCGCTCGCGTGAGTGTACAAGGCGATTGCGCATAATCCTCGCGCGATTGTTCTACTTAGCAATAAATAAATATCCATTTGACAGCGAATTTAGATCACATAAAGTATCCGAAGCCGAAGGTCCGTTTTATGGCGTCCCAGTAATACCTGTCCCAATTTTCCTTCGTAGAGGTCTCTTCACTGCAAATCGTTCCGTATCATACCGTGGCGATAATATTCAACAACAAAATAACGCGATAGATTATAGCAAAAAGAAAAGTTATACTTCTTACCTAAGAGGAACACCGGTCTGTGTTAAATTGACTTCGGTGTGGTCGTTTTTCTCGCAAATATCGATCGTTACTTCGCTATAATGTCCGGATGGCCACTGTTTGCAACGCCATTTTTGTATAATTTTTGTCGGTGTAATCTCAACGAACTCACCATGAATATTGCCGCCGAAAAGCTCGAACTGACCGCTTTTCTTCAGCTCGAGCTTCACCAGGCCTTTCGTGAAAGCTTGCACCATCTATGATAATTAAAGACTTGCTATTCTCCAGTTCAGCTATTCACCGAGCCATTAAAAATGTCCACTACGAGATAACTCGATTAAATTATTACCTCAACAGTGGAAAAGACTTTGAAGAACTCTTCTGCCCTGCATTGAAATTTTTGTTGTTGTTTAATGGTAGTGGTGGAGATTTTACAGCCTACTGTTTTATGATTGTTCGTCGGTGTTGCTGCAGTATTCATTTGCATCTTGAAAGAAAAGAAAAGTTGTACACAACATTAATCGCATTCTGTCTTGTTATCATAAACATATTGTACTTACTTTGACATTGAAACCAGATGTTATATTAGAGATATTTTCTTTTACATTATCTTTCTTAGGAAGTATCATTCCTTTCGTAAATTCTAAATGGAAAAAAGAGATACAAATTGTATAAATGCTTTACATTATATTTAAAAAAAAAACCTCCCAAAAAAAAAATATATATATATATATTATGTGTTTCAGAAAATTAATATTTTACCTTCCTTCAAGGAAGACACGTATTTTTTCAATTTTTCTCTTAGTACATACTTTCCCTTTGTATGCAAGAAGTGTTTTACTCTTTCTCCTTCATCTGTACTATCTTTCAAAGTAATTTCGATCTGTAAATTATAAAATGTACATATGATTAAATATTTACTCACTAGGAGAGATTACGACTGACTTACCAATTTTGATCCACTTTAGTGAAATGAATCTATATCGCAAATAAGAGCAGGAGCGTCTTATGCAATGTGCCTTAAGAAAGATATGAATGTGAGAGTGAATTATCGTATTTCACACAGAAAACATACTTGATTCAAATTAATAAATATGTTTCTTTCTGAAATTAATTTTTCTTTATCATTATAATTATATTTTATGTGTAATTTTTTTGAATTTGTTTATTTTTGTCTATTACGTTTACTTTTGTGATTTATTTTGTTTAGATATAATAAAATATATATGTTTTTGTACTGTCAAGTTACCTGACTGTTAAAAAGTAATTAAATATGTAAATGAAAATACAAATATGAATAAAATTTAAGTAGGGTAGGATTGATACTATGACTACCACTTGAGAATTAACATCTTACTAACTACAATATTGACATTGTTGATCTTGCGCTTTCTCTTATGGCTTATAAGTTACCGTATGGAATGCTTAGAATTTTAAACATTCATATCTTTCTTATTAAAACACATTGAACGTCTTACCTGTATGATTTATTTCCGATGTAAATTCATCTCATCGAAGCGAATAAAAATCAATGTGTAGTCAACTGTGACATCCTCTTTTTAGAGAGGTAATTATATATTTAATTAAAGAGGAAAATGAGAGAGAAAAAAGGGAAAGACAGAAAGAGAGAATAATTAATACTTACATCTACTTCATTGATATCATTTTCTTCAGACAAATTAGGAATATTAATTTTACCCTCAATGTTGTTACCCGATTTTTCATCTAATATCCATTTAAGGATGATATTCCATTCATAAAAGAAAATAAGTTTTCCTTTCCTATTATTTGCTACCGCTTCACCTTCACATTTCTCCATTTCTGTTATTTCACATGTTACTGCAAATTGAATATATATATAATATTACAAAGAATATTATTATATATTCTGATCAAGATAAGTTTTATTATACTAACCTCCGTCTCCTTCAATCTTTGCATTTAAAAACAGCTCTTTCAACTTTTCTTGCGACCATGCACAGGCATTCTTTTCTGTCCTATAATATAATTTTTACATAATAACAAAATAAGCATACAAAAATATATCAATACATAAATATGTTTCTAGTCAATAGTTGACACAGAATTTAATTAAATGCCTAATTTCGACATTAGCTCAACATACCAGTGCCAATTATTAACATTGGTAGCATCAGGTCTCTCTTCTACAATCCAGCGAGGATCACCTTCACCCCATTTTGCCATTCTTCTAGGTATTTTCCGAAAGAAACACAATAAAGAAGGACTCCTGGTTGGATGCGCTAAAATTTAATACATATTTTAAACTCATGTTACCGCGATTTCACGAGAGTGACAAAAGGAGCAGTGACCTTCTAAAATTAAACTTATATCCATAGAACTGACAGATATAAAATAGTCTACAAATGAGGAAAAATTGGCAAGAATATATGCATTATTAGATCGACGGGTGTTTGAGTTGAGACAAATTCATCAAGATCTTTTACATGCACGAATTACTTACATGAAGTAACTATGGTTAGGAAAGCGTTCTCGCAGTTTAACGTCGGTTGTACCGCTTGTTAGTGACAATCGTCCGAGATATATTCCGAATGTGTCTCGATTCTTTTCTAATACAATGCTTCGAGCACAGATTTATCACGTAACGACAACAGAAAGTCTTGTCAACACTTTCACCGATTAATACTGATCCACCGGATTACTCCAAAATCTCGAGACTAGCTAGATATAATTCAACGTGCGAGCTGGAGAGAGCATTCTGGAAACTTCAGTCATTGAATAGGATAAATCGCGAGATGGCGCACTCGAAGATAGATTCTGGCCGGAAGGGTTATGAACTACAAAATAGTAATTTATTTATCATCTAATTAAGAAATATTATTTAATTAATTAAATAAAATTGATTAGCCAATAGTTAATGTTGATTATCAATTAATCGTCCAAGTTATAGGTATATTTTGATCGATAAACAGCGCGATTATCACAGGCGAATGTATTCTCGCCGAGACAAAGATAGACTGTATGAGGTATTAGACAGAGAAGACTGTAATCTTTACGCACGTCAGTACTGTAGTCTTACGCACGTGTAGAACACAATAGTACGTATATGTTCCTTGAATTCATTTTTATGGAAAACATACCTATTTAAATCGAAATTTCGCTCAATGAATATGGAATAAAACCTAAAAATAAGAGTATTGCAGTCGCAAGTAAACAGAACACTTTATAAGTTACTGTATACAACGTAGAAAACGAAAGTTTCGTTTTTAAATTATTTATTACATATTACAAATGAAATTACAGTTTCGTGATTATTACTGCTTTATTCTACGCCGTTTTTGACTTATAAATCAGGAATTACTCAAATCGCAAACATCGCTATTTAACGGATATCTCGCGATAATTGTCCTCTCGATGATTCTCAACATTCGCCAACGATGATCATCATTTGTATCTAAGAATTCCAAAAAGGCATTCTTAAAGTTACCTAATCCAAATCCATCTAAACTCTAAATGATCTAAACTTAAAGAGGCGTCTAAGCGAAAAAATGTTGCTCGAGACTTCAATATCTGTAACCCTCATCTTGCGAAGGTCCTCCTGGATAAGTTGCGGTTCCCTCGTATCGTACCATAGGCCGATATCCGGCTTCGTCAGCTACGTAATCGACGATTTGGGTTCTACCATCGGGCAGCAACACGTGATAGGTCCCGGTGGCTTCCATATCTTTTCTCATCTCACGATGACCAAAGTCCAGACCCGCCGCCGTGTCTTGGACCTCGTACGAGAATTCATAATTTGCCGGATCCTGCCGAAGTACATAAATATATCGATTTTGTCAAGCATGATTGAATACAATTTCACAGCGACTCGTGAGAAAATATGTGACAACACTCCCTTCGAGAATGCATGTACTTACACCGGCCCATTCATCCGGATGACCACCTCCTGCTGGTCGAGAGCTAGGCGGAAGGTAGGCTGGACCCTGCGGTTCGTTTCGAACCCCTACCAAGACCTCTACCAAGACTAATAGTATCGCCTGTTCGAAAGAAGAACGCGGTAACTTACACACGTTTGACACGCGAAAGAATCAAGTAGGAAGGATTAGACCTGGCAACTTTGTACCAGAATAAAACGATATTTTGAAATTCGTTTAGTTATCAAATATCCAAGTTCATTGTATCGTGCATGCAATTTAACAGTCTTATTAACGACATAGCTATTGACTAGAAACATATTTATGTATTGATATATTTTTGTATGCTTATTTTGTTATTATGTAAAAATTATATTATAGGACAGAAAAGAATGCCTGTGCATGGTCGCAAGAAAAGTTGAAAGAGCTGTTTTTAAATGGCAATAAATGATGCAAAGTTATCCCGTGCGATCTATTTTTGTTTGCCGTTCTGTGTAAAATGTTCAGCGAGACTTGAGGGATCTTTAAACAAGAAAAGTTCTCTTGCAAGTCGCGTTCTTGGGATGTACCAACCAACCTTGCGGATCATTAGCACAGTTCGATGAAATTCGACGAGCGTTCGCAAAACTGAAACGGTTCATCCGCATCGCATCGGTTTTATATAGCGACATTCCGATCACGACGGCATGGAGATGGAAACGGCGATCGCATCCCTGTAATTATGGATAATAATAAAACCGCAGATTTCTGGCGCGGCCTTAATCATTCGTTCGTAATCCCAGCAGTTCCTGATTCCATGTAACGCCATTGTTCCATCGAAGTCGCAATTACGTCAGACTAATTAAAAGATTTGATCATTAGAAACGATTGCGGGGGTGAGCGAATTATTGCAGTCCCCGAAAGAATCTAAACTGTTATATTGCGACGCGATACAGTTGTGCCGTCGGAAAATTAACATACATTATTTCAGAATAACTTCGGACATTAGCTTCGATCACGGAGAAAAGTTTTCGGCGATTAGTTAAATTCATTAACTGCCGGATTCTTCGTGTTTGGTAATATCTGAACACCGATTCATCACTGCTTTCGCTAAATCGATGTGTAATTTGCGCACGAGCCTTACCCAACGGGTAACGACGAGTTGTATTAATAGTTCTTTCTCGATTGCGCCACGTCGTTCATTCTCTAGACGGAGATGCGACAAGACTTAAACATTGAGAAGTGTCGCAAGATATCATGATGGATATTTGGTTGATAACGTAACAAATGATTCGCGGTCGTGATCAGATGATATTTGCCACTGTTATATTTGCTTTAACAATACAGAAATAATTTAATAATCATTTCCGTTCTTCGTAATGAAATATTTGGCGTAAGCCAGTAGTTATTATGTAAGAAATTAAGTAGGTCGCTTGTCAAGCAATAATTTAGATAATATTTATCGATGTGGCGCTGTACTATTTTGTCGTGGCGGAGTAGCGCCCACGAACGGCAAAAATAAACCTCTCGTAAGTGTGTGAACATGCGCGCGTAAGCAGTTCAATATATCGATTATAATTTAATTTGGCTCTGAAAATATCGTAATATGTCGTAATATGTAACACAGCACAGCGAAAATCCCGTTTTAAGTCTCTATGAGACTTAAGTCTACGACTTTTTGTTAGTTTGGATTACGCAGCGTAGATTTGATCGCGCAAGTGTCGGAAGCACGCCGTTTGCATCAATTGTCCCAAAATGCCGTGCACGGACGGACGCTTCCGACGAGCTCATGTGTTTCATCGTCGACTCCTTCGCCGTGATCTAACGTGAGTGATTGACGAACAAGAGTAGTGCTCTCTCGTGACAATATCGTGTAGACAGCTGTGGGAACGTAAAACGATGAACGTCTCGATGAGGTCAAATTTGCTCGCGCGTTTAACCCATTAACTGCCAAATTTTTTTTTTGAAATTTTTGGCCGGATAAGTTATATATATGCAAAAAAAGTTGTGTAACAGTATAATTATATTCAAATTATGTTTTGTTTTATCCCCAAATGGGGATCGTGGCAGCTAATGGGTTAAGTTCGAATTCGCTCGTCTACTCCATGACCGTGCTCGGAGCTCGCGCTCGGTTTTTCCCTCCACCAATCGCGATCACGCGGAACTACTTTCATTCGAATCTGATATTCGTACGCGTCGCGAAGGACGCCGGTAGTTTTCGTGGAATGTCGAGAATTGCACGGCTGCGTCTCACGATTACGTCGTCGAATGTAATGATTATTCGAGAAATATCGGCCGTGTTGCGTTGCGGGAATGTGTACAGTGGTATGCAGCGTACGAGGGAGGACTCGCCGAGAATCGGGTCGCCGTGATGGAGCTCGGAGGCGTTTGGACAACTGGACATAATTCGGTGAACATCTGAATTTGCCCGTCTTCCAACTCGGCTTCATTCTACAGTACAGTAAGTGTTTTAAAAATGTAATAACGCTTAAATTTCTGTATTCTACTCTAGTTCTGCTTCATTGTTTTATTAGAATTCAATGAATTATGTTACTTATGTGGGGATGAAGGGAAAGGGGATACTCTCTTTTTCAAGGAATCCTCAAATTGCTCAAAATGGAATTTATAATGTTGTTATAATTGTTGTATAATTGTTTTAAAAGAAGAAATAGTACCCAGCGAAAAATGAATATCGTAGTCGATTAGATGTTCATTTTGATTGTTTCGATTAGATACTTCATTTCCCGCTGGATATAATGAAGTGAAGGGAGAGCAAAGACAAGAATAAAGTTTTGAGACTGGAATTTACCGTATTTTACGTCACGTTTATTATTATAAAACATCTACAAACTTTATCTCTCAACAATAATGTCCAGAACGACAAAATAAAACAAACCAAAAATTAAATAAATTAATAGACGTGTAAACGCATATTTTTTATAATTTGATCATTAATACTTCTCATATTAACTTTACGTAATCATGGAGACTATTGTGCGTATTCAGAACGTTAATTACTTCTCACAGTTCACTGGTATACATTCGGTACCATTAATCTGCACACTAGCATACTAAACGTCTAAAAATAGACACCACCGATTTTAGTGCTTTACACGCTCAATCAATCAATCAATCAACCAATTAACCAGTTTTAAAATCTGTTCTTGTACTTGCACTTCATGTACTTATGATATTTATATATCCCGTACAATTTTTTTCTCCTTTTCTCATTAAATACATTTCATTTCATACTCATTCACTTATCTCATTTTAAATACAAAATGTGTATAATCTAGCGCAGCTAAAGAAAAACAGATTTTCGATATCCTATTATGCGTTGTTATGATCGTGCTTGATACGTTATCACTTCAAAAGAAACAACCTGCCATAGTCCCTTGAGCAGCACTCGGTCTAAACAAATACATATATTCTCCTCACATATCCTTTGATAATTTTCGATACGGTTATACGTGTCTATCTTTTGTATAAATAATCTATATACGCTCGGTACAAAATACGATTTTGCGTATCACTGGAGTAATGCAGAGTGTAAACGACAGATCTGTACAAACTCGAGTCGAGTGAATGTTTGGCGAGTAAGCGTTTGTGTGTCAATCTTTGGCAGCTTTAGCTTGCGTTTCCTCCCGAACGCAAGATAAAATGTGTGACCAAGGATATAAGAGAGAAAGTTCATCGTAATAAATAAAAATTTAATATAAATATTTTAAATATATAAATGACGCTACTTTGTATTAGAAAAAAAGAGGACAAATAAATATAATTTCAGTTTTCGTTGTAAGTTTTTACTGACATAATTGAAACTAATGGTTTAAGACTAGAAAATTCGAGAAATATAAAGTAAAAACTTGGGGAAGAAAGTTTTCGTGAATTCTATGTATCGTATACGTAATGTAATCAAGAAACTAGTTGCAAATTAAATGAAATATGTACAGACCTCTCGGGTAAACCCTGTGTCCTGAATGTACCCCGAGGATAATCTACTTCAAACGTCTATAATACTGTTCCGTTTCTTCTCCACGTCCGCAGAGTCCAAATCGTTACCAAGGCTACCAACTCGGCCTCTCAATCCGACACCACTGCCGACCTGACCGGTTGCTTTGAGTTTCTCTTGCATTTGTGCTAGGATATCCTGCATCCTTCGTATCTGCGCATGTGAATTATTAATGTGAATGGCGTATATATACTCGGCAATATATATATATATATATATATATATATATATATATATATATATATTACGTGAAAATATTAAGCTATATTAAATTATACGTGATATCACCGCTCTCTATTTTGCTCTCACCTCTTCGTCCTTCTGCAAAAGCAACCTGTCTGTGTCGGAAATACTGTTCTCAAAGTGCGGTCCAGAATCCCGTTTCAATTTACTACAAAGATTGGAAGCAAAAGACGTGGGTATCATTGATTATCCGAAAGGAGGGGAAATACAATCTATCAAACGCAATCGAAGCATAAGTACGGTAGAGAAAAAGATATCGTGCATTTTTCTATTAGAAAATGCTAAAATTTTACGATTTTTATGATTCTTATTAGACGATGCAATTAGTGTGATAACTAACTTCGCGATTAAATTATCATACCGTCAGGGAACCTTTGCAAACTACGAGCCTAAAGATCTGTAAAGTAAGTACCTCAAAATGTGAATTTTTATAAAACTAGAGCGGCATTCGGCATTGTCCACGATTTGTCTACACTTGTTTATAAAAAAGTTATTTTTGTTTACTTCCCCCGAAAGAAAATAAAAATAATAATGAAATCGTATAAAAATAAAATAATAATCAGAAAAATAATCAAACAAATTTGGACATCAGTATCCCTGTGTTTTTTTTTTTTCTTTCTAAAAGGGATAGAGATTTAATTTCTAAGAGCGATTGTCCTCGATTCATTCAATTTTTTTGTTTGGTTATAATTTTTTCGCGACGTAGGCAAAAATAATTTTTGTATGGATAAATATGGACAAATCTCATAGACAAACGAATGTTGCGTGAATTTTATAAAAAATCACGCGTTTGGTCAATTTCACAGATTTGCTTAAATAGTGCCGCAAGTACTTTTAATAATCATGCAAAGCACACAGGACACTTGAGAGGAATTGTCGATATATTTAGAGTAACAATGATCTAAATGTTCCCCCATCGTCGACAGATTTGCAAAATGTGAATTACGGTAAGAGTCGTTCTTTGCGATAAGTTACTCTCGAGACATCCTGTACGCATTGCGAACGCGCGGTAAACGTCCGTGTATATATATATATACCTACTGAAATGCAATATTTATTTACATGCGTAAATACCTCCGTTCCCGGATCGCTTGTTGTGAAATTTGAGAAATACATTGGGCCCGAAAATTCTCGTAGTGAACGTCCTGCGTGACGTCCTTTAGATCTTGCATATGCGTCGATATTAACATCGTCCTTAGTTTGACGAAATCACTGTGCTTCGGGTTCTCAACTATGATCAACCAGAATTGGAACATTAAAATTAAAGTACTGGCGAGACGAGACGAAAAAGAAGAGAGGGGGAGAGAACGATATGCACCTTTTAATGCATTCGATCTCCGCAGCCCTCGAATAATTCGCTAATTGACGCCATCGATCACGCGTGAAAGCTACGGAGAGGCTCTTTCACCAATTACGATTTTAATTCGTAACTACTTTTATTCCGATTCCTACTCTCGACCGTTTGATTAAAAGACCGGGATTTCTCTAACGAAATAAGCGACGCTTCAATATACATCGAGCGCGTTGAATCTTTATTCTTTACGAACCAACGATTCTTTCGACATCGCGTTCAAGTACACTTCTGATTTTTACAAGCGTAGTAGTTATCAGTAATGACATTCACATGAATAATTAAATCATATCCTTCAACGATCAGACAGATCTCGTCGTAATACGACGATTTATCCCGACTTTTCCAACGCGTTTGTTAAAACGAAAAGAATGTCTGACCAAAAAAAATGATACTTACCTCATACAGTATATTGCGATACGATCGCGAGAAATATTATAATTTTATGTAGAATATTAAGAAGTTCACCTTCCACTACGCCCCATGGATATTGCCGGCCGCGAACTTTCCTTCCAGCAACTTCCAGCACCGTCGAACTCCCGACAACCGCGAACGGTATACACGCCTTCAATTCCTTATCCTGTTGCTTAAATTCCTCATCCTCGTCGCTGTCGCAATCCGGGAATTGGTATATCTGTGCAGAGACGCAAGGGTTTACGCTGGTTTACCGTCGGATAATATCGGAGGATAGATAGATATTAGAAAATGATTACGGAATTCGCGTTATTTCGAATGAAGAAAAGAAAACTTTCAAACCGATCGAAACTTTTCTCTCTGAATTTTTTTACATTACCTGAATCTCGTGTTCCTCGATGTCCGCCAAAATGCGCTCCTTCAGCTTTTTCACTTCGTGAGTGGTTAAAGTGTCCGCTTTTGCTATTACGGGAACTACATTCACTTTCCGATGTAAGCGCCTTAATACCTCGAGGTCGATTTGCCGGAGGCTGCGAAGAAATTGACTCGATGTTAGAATTATAAATTAATTGACTTTAGTATCGGGGTCGCATTTAACCTCATCGAGAAAAGTATCTTTAACGGTCGATTTATCGCATACCCGTGGCCATACGGTGGTATGAAGTATAGGCAACAGTGCACTCTGTTATCTTGAATATTTTTTCTGTTTAATCCGCTCTCGTCCGTAAAATACTGGCGAAATTGCTCGTCGATGTAAGCCGAACACGCTTTCCACGTGTCCTCACAGTTTACCGCATCGCCGAATCCTTGAACGAGATGTTTACAAAATTATTCTACAGAGTCGGCATTTTTATGCATTTTTGCTTCTTTTCACAGAATTATTTTGAATGATCTTAATTAGTGTCGATCTTGATGAAACAATTTCACAAATTGACGAATTTTTTTATTCGCAAAATTATATTATAAAATTACTTCAAGATACTACAGATGGAACGAGATAGACAATATGTGCGATTTGGTTAAATATAAGTAGAAAAACAAGAATTTGCCGGTGTACTTCTCACCTGGCGTGTCTACAATCGTCAAACGGAGCCGCACGCCGCGCTCCTCTATATCCATTGTCTTCTTCTCAATAGAAGTGGTCTTAGCCACGCGCTCTAAAAGTGAACGATAAATATTCATCGACTGGTACTCGACGGAGATCGAAAAAACGAGCGGTTTACCAACGATGCAAGTTGATCAAATATTTTCCGCGGGTCAATAACTCGTAGGAAGAAAAAGTGCGTAAAATGTTAAAGCAGCGACATCCACGCCCACCGTGAAGCAACGCCACAATTATTCCGATTAATCACGTAATATTTGACCACACGGAGAAAACTGCTGCGGTTGCTACAACAATATTCTCTATGATTGTGAAAGAAGTATATATGAAATAAAATTAAATAGATTACGTATTAACATTTTCTGTTGATATATGCCCATCTCTACAATCGTCACAACCTAGTAGTCTTTATCAATTTTCTCTTAATATATTCTCAAGTATAGGTGTCTCAACCGAAGGAATATTTCGTACAGACTGTCTGTCTGTTATGGTCTGCATAACAAATACTGTGGTTGAGAGAACTGTAGAGTTTAATTGCACGATACAGCAGCCGACACGATTTTCGAACGAACGGCTCGACGTGAGCCTCCAGTAGCTGCCGCAATGCAGCGCCGCTTGCGACTGCTCGCCGCTCGCGGTAAACTTTGTTCACACCTGGATATATATACACTGGTGCCACGAAAGTGCTCGACAAGCGGGGAAAATTTATCTTGAATGAAAGTAGGTGATCTATAAGGGTTGTACTCTCCCGGTATCTTTTTTTTTTAATTCGATGCTAAAGAGGAAATGAATTTTTCGACTGGCGTGTGTTTGCTCCAGAGACAGCTACGATATGTCGACGGGGAAACACGGCTGAAAAGTTCATTTCCTTTCAAACACTGATCTGAAGCACGCAAGGTGGTGCTGCTGCAAACTCTTGCATTATTAATTTCTTCTCTCTCTTGTATTATTAATTTCGTATAAATCCATTTGTGATATAAACGGATATCCTCATTGAAGTTACGGCGACTACACTGGTCCTAATATTTTATGACTCTTACAACCTTTATCTATGCATGAGCGAAAAATAACATTAATATTTTGTTGCGGCAACCATTATCTAATTAAATGATATTCATAATGTTTTCTCCGTGGTACGCGATAGAAAAGAAAGAAAAACTCCTTCCTCAACAAGGGAGATAATTTTCATTCATCAACATTTTTATGTGAAAAATCACGGCCTAGTTGATCGAGCAAATTACATACCCGCCACATCCGGAATTCGCCGGTCCTTGTATAGGTCTCCGAGGAAGAGGCTGTTAATAAGTGTCGACTTTCCGAGACCGGTTTCACCCAACACCATCAGGGTGAACTCGAAGCCCCTCTTCACCGATTTTCTGTGCACTTGCTCCGGCAGCGTCGCAAATCCGATATAATCCCTGTCTTACTGAGCGAAACAAAAGATCGTTAATATCGCGACATATCGCGTCAGTCGAATCTCTCTCTTCCCCCTCCACTCACTCTATCCCCCGGAGAAACGAGCGTTCGCAGGAAACAAACGAGTTACTATACTTTGCGACAGGCATTTCGCACAGGTATGGCAACCGCGTTTCGTCTAGAAACTACCGTTGACTCCCGTTTCTACGGTGCATACTCGTGTCAGTAAATAGCGCATTCCTTCCATGCAAATCGTGACGGGGCTAACCGATGACTCGGCGCCACCACCGAACGAATACACGCGGAAAAGAGAGGGAGAGAGAAATGATATTTTTTCAAATAAAAATCTCACGTACCACCGGACATGATGGCAGCATCTAAGGACGCTTCGGTGTGACGGGCATAACAGCAAGCACAGACGTCGACCAAACACCACGACCGAGGGCGGCTCGCTTGTGAATGCCTCTCTTCGTCCGGTCGACTTGCGCTGGCGCACTGTCGACCGGCCGATCAATAGTTCGCGCTTCTACGGTGCGCTCGAGGCTGAAGAGGTTAAACGCGAGCCGGGCGGTAGACCGGCGCGCATGGCGGAATAAATAGCAACGTTATCAGCCGGTCTCTAACGGTTACAGGCGGAAGAACGGAAATGATTGCTCGACACCGACGGTCGTTTGCCAGGCGCGACGTTGCACCGATTGATTAGATCGCGTGCACTGCCGGGGAAAAAAAGGAATTATCACCGGTGACGCCTCTTGACGTCACAGCGCACACACACCGGTCGAATCAGCGGGAAGAAGGGCGGGGAAAAGGCTCTCTTTTTTTTTTTCTTTATTCCTCTTCGGAGGACATAAAAACGTTAACTGAGCCGCGTTAACGTCGTTCAGCGGCTGTTCGTTTGGTAGCAGCTTGGATGATGTTTTTTAATGTAATCGCTTCATCTTGCGGCAGCGGTTTTACGCGTATACCGTGAGATAATTTTAATAACTCGAGGATATTAACGTTTGGCACACCCCGTGAGAATATGAGTTTCATTACATTTGCCGATAATCGCGCCGGTAATTATCATAATGAGCAGCACAATAAAAGCGCTCGATGATGTGAGATTTATTACATTTCCGCGTTTGTTTGATTATAATTTCGATTAATTAACAATTATTACACACGCGCGATTGTCCGAGGTATTTATTGATATTGCGCAGCAAAAACTACTTAAAATTACTCGTTGACATCAATATTAATCACTGGCTGTTCGGTAGAAAAAGAAACATGTTTATTGTACAATTTTGTCGGGCAACAACCTGAGATGTCAATAGAGACATATTTAAGTATTCGCTCGATAGAGATCGCGCGCTCTCATTTTTACGAGATTGCCTCACTGACTATTTTTTATACAATCCATCACGTCGTCGACGTCGTCCTTGGAGCCTAAGAAAATGGGAGATCTCTGATGAATGCTCTCCGGCACGATGTCCAGAATATCAATTTTTCCGTTTGTCGCGAGACCGCCGGCCTCCTTGATTATAAAGGCCATTGGTATGCACTCGTACAACAGTCGTAGCTGAAAATCACGTTAGCAACAGTTGTACAATAACTGTCACGGTTGGTTTAATTCATCGCGTGAATACGAATGTGAGATTTCATCGAGAATAAAGTGTATATTTTCGAAATGCGGCGAGACGCGCTTACACGTAAGCGTGGCGATAAAATGAGATCAAATTTAACTTAATTACTGGTAAACGAGTTCTCGAGTACCGACCCCGATATCGGTGTTTTGATACCGAGGTGCGCCATCACGAATTGAATAACGCGCGGAGTTCGATAATTCCGTCCGTGTTTACGGCAAAAATCGACGGACACCGTTCTAAATACGACGTCAGATATCTGTTCGCCGGTTTAGTCCAAAATAATTCGCAAAGTCCAATACATAACCACATAATTATCGGATAGCGTAAACATCTCTCTGTAGAAAGTAAAGTCGATACAGAAAGTTACTTCATTACACGAACCGTAGACTGATAAACGACGAGTGCGCAAGATCAAAGCGCTTGGCAATAGCGAAAGCGAAGATAAAGATAAAAGAATAAACGCGAGAAGATAAGAAAGATAAGCGGAAGATATACTCGCGAAGCGAACAAGTATTTTGCAATATATTGCGCGAAGTTATTATCGTTCGCCGTCTTAATGTCCTCTCTATCTCACCGTAAAAAGCGTGTTAGTTATCAAGCGATATGTGAAATTACCTTGCCATTGGGATTGCTCTTGGTCGCGGGATACAAGAAGATACCGCCATATTTGATTGTTCGGTGCACGTCGGCGACCATGGAACCCACGTACCTGGCGCTATATGGCTTTCCACTCACGGGGTATTTCTTCGTGCGTATATATTCCTTAATGGAGGAGTCCCACGCACTCTCGTGGCCTTCATTAATACTATAAATAACGATATCGTACGTGATTTCAATATAATCGACGGGTCGAAAAGTTATCGCAGGCGAAATGAAAATCTATGAGAAAATGAATAATTTTTCTTTCTTCTCCTCATCGTAAGAAGAATATCATGTTTAACAGATCGCCAACCGATTAGATAGATCCATCCTCCTTTTCGACGATCGATCGATCAATCTTTGATAATTTTCTAAAAAAATCAGTATTTTTCATTACGTATCGATTTTCTTACGTTGCAAGATTTGTAAAGATTCAGATTAGAAGTTACTGTTTACGAAATGTCTTGTTTTCGATAAGGCGTGACTCGCGCGATTAGCAAGTGTTAACGACACCAGATTTCACACGCCGTGATTGTTACGTTCGACCTCTTTAAAGTGCGCCGCGACATTTCCTCCGAGCTCGCGGTAAAGAGCGAAAACTCCGGGTATCCCCTCGGTATCTTTCTCGTACCTATATATATCGCCCCTGGCAGGCAGACGCATGTTCTTCTCGGTCAGTATAAATTCCCCGATGGCCGGATCGTACGTGAATCCGTTAACGCCGTGGCCAATGGAGAGCACTATCATGGTCGCCGAGCCATAGAGAGCATACCCCGCTGCGACCAGGTTCCGCCCTGGTTGAAGAGCCGCATCGGATTGTTCGACTTTTTTGTAAATTCCAAATATCGAGCCCACCGAGACGAGACAGTCGATGTTGGACGAGCCGTCGAGCGGGTCGAAGCACACGATGTACTTGCCGCGCTTCTCCGTCTCTACTTCTATGGCGTGCTGATTCTCCTCGCTCACGAGGACACACGTGGTGAAGGAGGACGTCAGCATATTGATGAAGAGCTCGTTGCTCAGGACGTCCAGCTTCTTCACTTCCTCGCCCTGAACGTTGGTGTTGCCAGCGATACCGTACCTAAGCATCAGAATGCGTCGCGTGTGTTTCGTTGATTAATTGATTCCCTGTCGGAATAATTGGCGAGCCTGATAACGATTGTTTAGAAACGGCTCGGATATCTCGTCCTCGAAAAATATGAATTTTTCGATCGGGAATATTTCGGTCCGTGTGGGATTTTTTGAAACAAGAGCAGAGTTTAATTCGCGGAACGTGCGCGATTGTTTTATTCATATTGACGCATTAGGCGCTGTAATAATAGGGGAATCCTTTGTGTGTTATTTACATGCGGGATCACAGAATTATCAGGGCAAGGAGATAAATGTTTTACTGCCTACTGTGAATTGGGCGCGACGGTAAATGCACGATAATATGCAGCTGCGGAATACATTTGAATAAAATAGAGATGCGCGCAAACGTTAGTTGGCATTACGACGCTACGGAGACTTTGCACTATACAAGATGTCAGTCGTCCTCGGTCTCCTCGCTAAATTTCGAGCGCTCGACATAGAATAAGAGTCTCACGGTGTGTGTGTGTGTGAAAATTGTCCACTTATATATCTCGGGCGTATATAAAACGACGCTGCGCAACTTGGAATGACAATGGTACGCAATTAGAAAGATAAGCAGATAATTTCCAGCGGAAAATCAACTTCCATTTGAAGCGACACAGTTTCTCTCGCGAGACGACGCGAGGAAACGTCGCTTCTCTTCGTCGCGTGTAAAACGGAATGATTTCGCAAAATCACAAGTTCGAAAGGAACGTCTTCCCGGTCTCGTCTCTGCCGTCGAATCGCGCGCGTTCCACGTGGCGCGCTCGTTTGCTCGCGAACATGGACGACGTCGGAGATCTACTCACATGTTAGCGATGCCGGCCTTCCTCACGGCCGAGCTGACGGCCTTCACGGCCGTCTGTATGCTGTTGAGCAGCTGGCTGAGGTCGCCGGTCGCGGTCGGCACCTTACGCTGCTCCGCCAGCACGAATCTCGTCAGGGTCATACAATCCGAGTCCAGCATCGTGTTTTTCGTCGCCATCGCACCGAGAACGTACCGTGCCGAGGCGGCAAGCGAGGGAGACTGAGACCGGTCGCGATGACGCGCCGCGTTATATAAGATCGTCGACAACTAGTGCTTGGCGCGTTATCGCGCTAGTGAAAGCGCCGGCATCGAGTTTCCGTGTTCCTAGGCGATAGCGACCGCGGTTGGAATGGCGGAGGTACGGCGTTCCGTCGCGCGACACAATCGATAATATAATCGCTCTTCAGAGCGTGTTAAGTGGCACGATATCATCGGGAGCAGATGCTTCACTTGACTGTTATTACTTATCGTTCGATTACTTCCGTAAGTATACACTAGAGACTCGGTAATGAAGTGCGCTTCTTAATCAGTTCCGCAAGTCGATTTTTAGATAATTAATATTGCATCCGGTTATCGATTCCCGCTGTTATTTTCTCGTTCTACAAATCTCTCGTTTTAGCGGTCGATATTCGTGATGTTATACGTTTTTGCTAAATTCAACGCAGCCGCCCGATCGGTCGCGCCTTTATTAAGATACATTTGAAGGGACTACGCTTGAAAAAGAAAGATAAATGAATTCTCTCCGGCGTAATTAATGCGCGAATTTTATACTCGGTTCTTTCGCGCGCTCCGTTGCTGATTTTGCCGCGTTTTATTTCAACCCATCCCCCTCTCCCTTTTTTTGCGCCGCGCATTATTTTCCCCGCGCACATGTTTCCGTCGCGCGCGCGCGCGCGTTAATACGCTCGGTTCCGTTGCAACACGCTCTCAAAGCGCACAGGACACGTTAAAAAGTATAGATTCACACGTGGCGGTGCTACGCTGTAGGTCGGCATCGAGGTCACGTAAACGGAACTGGGTCGTATTAAGATTCGTTTTGCCGATTATGCATTATCGTACCGCGCGGAAGCACGACGCGCGTCATCCGCGCTTTAACGCAAAATGATCGTCGCGGTGGCCGGGTCGTCCCGCGACTAGTGTAAATATACGATTTTCATGAGCATACGGAGCGTCTCTCGCCGAGAGTTCCGACGATACATTCGGTGATACCGAAGTCGCGCTATTGCGCGCTTAATTCCGTTTCTAGTTGACTTCTGAGTCTCGCGACAGATCAGCGAGTCGGTAATGTCGAAACTTTGTTGTGAATGCTGTTATTATGCTGCGCCCCGTGTAATTAAACTAAATGGCATGTAACGAAATTAGCGTCGTAACGACGTTGGATCGATCGAGAGAGAGAGAGAAAAAGAGGAAGGAAGGGAGGGAGGGAGAGAGCGAGAGGAACGGCGTATGCCTAAATAACGGCAATTTATGGCTCTACGTGGTTGCCACTTTACGTTGCAAATTATTCATTTTCTCCTATAACAAGCGTTTTATCTAATGTATCAGTGGCATCGCGCCAATGTTAAATATTTTATCTAATATATACGCGTGCGGTGAATGTGTCTTTATTTAAAAATCCTCGTAGTCGGTAATATTACTAACGGGCATTATATAATAAATACATAAAAGACAATAAGTGTGGATTTTTTTGCATTTAACCATCCGATAACCTATTAATAGGTTTTGCGTATACGCTGAGAAATCTATTTAGTTGAATCAACTAAATTCTGGTTTGACTATAGGGCAGATAAATTTTTTGAGAATCAAGGTTTGGTTCTTTGCAACCTCTGAAACTTTAGAGAACCAAACCTTCGGTTTAGACAACCAAACTGGTTATTACAACCAAAAAATTTGTTTGCCCATAGTTAAACAAGAATTTAGTTGATTCAACTAAATGGGTTCTCAGTGTACATTTGCTTATAATACGGTTTGAAAACTTTTTTCTCGATGTTGTTTGGAACGTAGGCGAGATCTAATATGTTTTTGAATAATTCCGAGAAATTAAGATATCTCATTAAACATCGACTGCGAATAGCATCGAGAAAAAGAGTGTGCGTATTGAAATCAAGAATTGAAATCAAATAGCGGTAGGTAAAGTGTTAATAAGTAATATAAAATGAACAATCATTAAACATGTAAAATATCGAAAATCAGTTCGATTATACGTACATAAGTTAGTTTCCGAACGGTTTAAACATTTGTTTTCGGTGCAGTTCGGAACGCAGCTGATTGTCCAATGAGAAAATTTGATTTCGATTAATTTGCAGAAGTTAAGCTCTCTCATTGAGCAATCAGCCGAACTGCATGCGACGAAAAAATGTTCAAGCCGATTTGAAGGCTAGTGTATGCATTGCTCGATGCAGTTTACAACATCTCGTCTTTTTCGTCGTTTTTTCGTGCGCTTAATATGAGCGCACACTTTCGCTCTTCCACATACGCGAATTCTTCTGCAAATTCTTATAAAATATCACGCTCTCTGTCCTCGGGTGTAGATTAAGAATCGCGGTCGGTCGATGGCGTCTTCCTCACCCCCGGTTGGTTCTTCCGGGTCAGACGCTCGTCGTAACCAGTAGCCGTGTTTTGCGGCGACATTCGTCAGTGTTCGTAATTTTCGAAAAAGCATCACGGACGCGTGCAAGTTGACGATTCTCTCAAAACAGCGCCGATGTCGTACGAGACACTCTACAAATCGATGATCTTCAATCGCAGTGGTGCTCCAACCGTGTTTATATATTTGCTCTTGTTCTTCATCGGTTCGTAGTGCCATTCAAGCCGGAAATGTCGTATGACCTAGATAAAATAAATGCGTTTTTACATTCCTGTACGTTTACAGCGCGCAAGCTCTATGGATATTGCTGGCTTTTCCACACGCGAGAACCATTCCGAAAATTGGATTTAATCGAAACGTACGATTCTAAAACTCGTCATTCCCGCCGGTAAATCGACGGCTTCTTTCATTTTTACATTTAGCTTTGTCGCGAGAAAAACGAAACGTTCATTTTAAGAGGTGTGATGAAGATTTCAGAAGTAATTCGGTTAGTCATACGGTTGGTAAAAAATATATACTTCGGAGACAAATGTCCACAGGTATTAACCGGAATGAAAAGTGGTCATCTCCGTTTAATCTTCATTAAACTGTCGGAACGGAATCGCGCGCTCTTCGATTTTTTTTTACGAGGGGAGTAACGACGCCGGCGGGAGCTCGCGAGAATATTTAGTCCTTCGGGAATTCATACTTGAGCGCGGCATCGTTATTTCATCGCACCATGCACGGTCACGCATAGTCGCTCTACGGAATCTATATATTATGCGAGCACGTAGTCCGTTTCTCTTATTATCTCAACAGGCGACATACTTTCACTTAAACCTCTCAGCTTATTAAACATCGTCGCTTAGCATGCATGAATAAAACATCGGGTGAAGAAAATCGTAGAGTTTTCCGTGCAAGAGACGTACGAGCGGATTGAGAGGAAACCGACGAGAATCGCTTTTCCGAGCTACATCCATTTAAGTACGTTTACATTCGCATCGGAGACGCGAGTGTATATATGCGCGCGTGGAAATCCGTGGACAAGTGGATAAAATTCGTTACTCTCTTTTCATTTCCCGGCGAGTCTTAAACATCAAGAAAATCGGTTATGAAAGATAAATGAAAAGTGGCGAGAAATGGAAAAGCGTTCTTGAAAGTGAGAAAACGAAAAGAAGAGAGTTAAATGGGAAAACACACGTGTTAATGGATAACAGAATTCGGTGGGCGAGCGATTAGACTGCGTGTAAAATCTCAGTCGTATCTCTAGGTAGAGGCTCTTGTGTTTGAACGTCTCAAGTTGTACCGTGAAAATTTCAAGGGAATGATTCAAGCGACTCTCTGCGGTGTCGTCAATCCTCTGATAAAAGACGCGTTATCGCAAACCGAGCGAGCGGGGGCGATCGGATTGGAGGGGAAAGTTTACGAACTGTCATGAGCAGCGTCTCGAGCTCCATCTCGGCGAATCTTCGGCCGATACAGGTGCGAGAGCCGAATCCGAAAGGCATGTACGAGAAGGGATGCGCTTTCTTGGCTGATGGGAACTCCGTGTTGCCCCGCAACCATCTCTCGGGAATGAACTCCTGCGGTCGCGGATAGTGCGCTGGTTCCAACGCCGTCACCGAGTAACAGGCTACGACGCCGATCTGACGACAGGTGTGAGGATCATTTAGAGCACGGTTCGTTTTATCCTGCGCGCGTAATTCTGAAGCGGCGAATTTTTCTCGCCATTTAATTATCTCTTATCTGATTAATATCCCAATTACGCATTACCTAATTAACGTTCGTCAAATGCATCGATAAGAGTGTACACGCGGATATTAATTGGTAAGTCGATATTAAATCTCGATCGTTGTAATTTATTAGAGCAGGAAGAGGGGGAGGAAGGGAGGAACGGAATATTGCACTCACCCCTTTTGGTATTTGATATCCTCCCAGAACCAGGTCCGTTTGCGTGGTTCTGAGCGAACCAACGGCTATAGGGAATGTACGAAGAGATTCCTTAATGCAAGCTTTAGTGTATTTCGTCTGTTCGAGGATCTCAGGCGTGATGGGTGACGATTTGTCCGGCAAGAAGGACATCACTTCCTTCCGTAGTATCTCCTGTTTCTCCGGATTATTCGCGATGTTATACAGCAAGCCGCCGGCCGTATTGCCGGTCTGTAATAACGACGGTATCGATTTGCCGCGTGACGGGGAGGAAGAATAATTTCGTTCGCGGTCGAGCTATTAAAACCAGAATCTCACCGTATCGATACCGGCCGTGAACATATCGGCCGCCATTATGACTGCTGTTTTCTCATGGATAAGCAGCAGTTTCTGCAGCACACTGCGTTCTTCGGTCTGTCCGCTGTTCGCTTGCTCGCTAAACTTCTTCTTGGCAAGCTCGATGTGTTTAATAACTATTCTGAAAGAGACGAGATAAACGAAAATCGAAAATTGGGATCTCGCGAGCGGATAACGTTCGGCGGATTTGTAATAACGCGCGGAATAAATTACGCGGTAGAGGAAACGCAGAGATAACGGTGGGACGGTCGATTAATGAAAACAGCCATTTCCCTTCTCTTTTTTCTTTCCTGCGAAAAGCAATCGTCGCAGGATCGGCGGCGATCCATTATCCGAGTGTCGAGCTGCTCGTAACTACGCGACGCGAGAATACTCGTTACTGAGAGATATATCAAGCATTAAGGTAATGACGACGAGAAGTAACAAGTTGGCGGGACTTTGCCGTAATATGCTGACGTATAACGAGTATAAGTTTCAATATTTACCCATTAATCGTATCCATCGTGCGGAAGAACTTCTTGAGCTTCCGCGTATTGTATAGTTTCCACAGGGATGGCTTAATTTCTAAGCAGTACATGAGGTCGAACATATCGTGCACGCTATTAATCATTATTTGCGGCTCCGAGTCCGCGGCAAGATCAGGCTTTAAGCACCCCAGTCGACAGTCCAGCGCGATTATACCTATCGCTATTAATTACATAATGGCAGATTACTGTTGACGTTCTCGATTCGGGTCCAGCATTAGCACGCAATGACGGATTAACGTAACATAACTGGCTATGCTCTCGTCTATCGTTTACTTTGATGGACTCTGCGATTTCACCTCGAATATTCCCGAGCCACGTTGAATCGAGAGAGAGAGAACAGTGCGTTATACAACCCGCTGCATTTTACCGCGGCTATTGAGAGAGCGCGGCTTACACCATATTCTCTGGTCCGAAGAGGACGCGTGAAACATCGTCGGCATAAATATTCGGCGGTCGGAACTAGCGCGCACGCGGCTACTCACCCTCCAAGCTCCACTTGCACAGCTCGTTAATGTAGTCACCCGGTAGCTCCAGGGTGTCGGGATTTCGCAACACTCGCATCTTCTCCATGAATTCGACGGTCATATCGTTGATCTGCGTAACATATGACCTGACCACTCGGGGTTGCATCATATGCTGGTTGACTTTCGTGCGGAAGTCTTGCCATGATTTGCCCTGGCTGAAAGAGGAGGATGCACGATAATGTGCAGTCTTCCCCTTTGCCCAGGAGAAGACGTGTAATTTACGTAGGTAGGCCTGGTGTTTGGCCTCCGTGGTTCTCTCTCTGTATATCCTATCGACCGTACAGGACATACTAACGGGAGTGAGAGCGGGTTGCTTTGTCAGCTGGTGTTCCCGTATTTTGATGAATTTTCGGGATATCGACGACGTTCGCGTTTCATCGCTCGTGTCGCGTCGCACCGATATTTATTTACGCTAATCGACAGCCGCTGGTAATAGCCGCGTAATATTAATCTAATAGTTCGACACTGCGTATTTGAGATTAGCTTCGGACAAGTCGTCGAGTCGATTGGAAAACTATACACACGATTAGCAGGCAAAATTCTATAGTACTCGCATTCGAATTTTTTTCAATATCATGGTAATCGTAGAATGTAAGGAGAATCCGGGAGATACTCCGTGTACTGGTGTAAAGAAGGGGAAACTTTCTTCCATTAATTATATTCTTCGAAGACGTACCCAGTCGCGAGACCGACTTGATCGCCGTATATATCTGGCCTGTTCACGCGATAGTGGTGCAGACACTCCATGGCTATTCGCACTGGCCAGGTGCCCTCCAGTCGTTGCATCGTTTGACACAACTCCGGATCAAATATAAAAACACCCGGCAGCCGACCAGGTAGACCTTCCAGTTTGACGACATCGCCAAACTCGTCGCGGAGCATCAGCAGCTGATTCACCAAATTCTCTTCAGCGTATTCACCTGCGGGTATTATTAAACACGCGCTTATTGAACATGAAGATCGTTCTACACGGATCGAGCGACCGAAACGCGTCGTATTTAGACGAACGTTGTTGCCAGCGGATAATACGCGAGATCGAGGACTCGCTTAAATAATTTCGTCGCGATGTAATTATATTACATTCGATCTCGCGTAAATTTAAATCCGGCCGATGATGATAAAAATTTCAGGATCTCGGACTTGTCTGGAAGGTTCTTACCTATGTACGGTAGAAATCTAAAAATGTTGCCGATCAGAGGCAACTTCTTTGGACCGGGAATATCCTCGAACGACCGCACGTGCTGCGACTCGCTGTCCACATCTTTCATGTCGCAACGTTCGATCGCGGGTGCGATCGACCTCGCGCGACGTTGCACTTCCCACAGCAAGCGCGAGCCATTGATTTTGCGAATGAAAAAGCCGGCACGCATCATACTTTATCTCGGGACACTCTTGACTTTGTAAACCTTCTGCAACGATGTTGTTCTGCTCGTGAGCGACATCAGCGGACGATCTCGCGAAATTATCGATTCGCTTGTACATTTGATACGCGACGTGCTATTTTATTTACGGCAACGAATACACGAGGCTACGTCACTTAGCGAATATACGACTGGGAATATTGGTTTAGGCTAATGGAGAAATATCGCGAACGCGGAAATTTTAAACGCAAATAAAGTTGCTGATATCGAACTTAACAAAGAAATACGGTGCTGAAAAATGAAGACCGATTGGAATTTTAATTTCGAGTAAAAGATTAAAGTATTTCACGACCGGAGTAATTACTACTCTCTCTCTATCTTTTCTTCACCCTCTTGCCCCGTTCCCTAATACACTGTCGGCGGAATATAGCGGAATGGTTAAAGACGAACGAGCCACCGCGCGGTATTTACAAGCGCTTGTCGTCCCGGGCTAACATTCAATTCGGACGTCGTACAGGTTGTAAAGCACGATAGAGGGATTTTCCAGAAGATATCGAGTTATGGTCCCGGGGAGACCGAACGCTGGACCGAAACACGTGAGGCGCCTCTGTATATCGACACACGTCAGCCCGCGTTATAGCGCGACCCACGACGAGTAGGAGGAGCGCACCGTTTTTCTCCCCCGCGTTTCGATCCGACATTTCCCGCCTTAGCTTAACCCTCAGACGTCGGAAATACTTTCAATCCGGAGAGTGACGAAAATAGGTCATATTTCACCCCCGTGGCCGCCTCCTGGCACGACAGGTTTGTTATTACAAGTTCCAAATACGGGAAACGCCTGATGAAGCAACTTCCGCCGTGTAACTTTTGCCGGCTGTATCTCTCCTCCCTCTCTCTTTCGCTTCCTCTCTTTTTGCTTTGCTTTTTTTTTTTGTTGTATCGGAGAAAAATGACGCAGCTTTAAAAAGGCTCGGAGGTACGAAGCGCCCCTAATAAGTTGCGGTGAGTCAAACCAGTCAGCGTCTCCAGGAACTAAGATGCGCGGCAAATTTTCTTTTCATAAGTGCTTTATCGTAATTATATTTCGTTGTACACATAGCGTGTAACTTAATACGCGGCACATACTTCGCAGAAATGGTCTGAGAAAAGTACAAAAAGGTTTCGTATCTCGGGTTACGTCGGATTTACTGGCGAGCAACACAATGTGTGCGTTCGACAATATTCGCATCGGCATTATTTTATCCAAACAATATATTGTTATTATATTTATGGCAATTATATATATGACTCGTATTATTATAAGACTTTGTAATAAAACTCGTGATAAGATATAAACAATATTTTTTAAATTAAGGGATATTTCACAAGACCGATTTAATCGAATAGGAAATTCAGAACAGTAAGGTCCGAATTTGCGAATGCTTGACATATGTATTTGCAATGTGTTGTATAACGCAGGTGTCAATCGCAATTTTAATCGGAAGCGTTTCGACCATATTATCATTTTATAAATTAAATAGGAGATCATAAAGAAGATAAAAAAAATGTAAAATATTAATGTCGAGTTTAGCATTAGAAGCATCAGAGATGGGATATGGAACGGAATCAAATGATGCGTTGAAATCTATTTTGCGATCTATATGCCCCTGATAGGTTATCGCCGTTCAGTGCAAAGATGTCAAAGCAGAGTGGAGGGATGGTTATTGATAAAAGATTATGATAAAAGTGCAATTTGAATTCAAGAAACATTACTTTTTAAATAATTATTCAATATGTATTCTACCAAGCGACTGCATTCTGCAAATCCATAAACCCGGTGTCATCCGTAGAAACGCTTTCGGAGTGTGCAAACTATCGGCTTTTGGCAAATATTAAAATAGTCTACAATATACAGGATGTCTGTTACTAAGTGAGACATCCGTCATGTATAATATTTGTAGTTCAGGTCAATGTGAACAAAAAAATCTTCTACCCTTTTGCAAACAATCACATTTTGAGTTATTAATTATCGAAAATGATCATATATAAATGTCTCTTTAATTAATAAATCCAAAATTTGCATCATTTGTAAAATTGTGAAGGATTTTGCCCAAAATAACCTTCATCTGTAATCTATATATTATGTATTATGTTTGTAGATTAGGCCATTCTCAGGATAACACATCTCATTTTGAATGTGACATTTAACAAGAAACACCCTATATATATTGTCAGTTGTTATCTTGTTTGTCGTTGAAAGTTGGGAAAGAAACCAAAGAAATAAACATTTCATATAACACATTTAATAGCGAAATGTAAATATCGTTGAGCAATTCAGTATTTTGTGCGTTAAGCTTTGATTCGGTTTTTAACATGTATAGCTTTCGAAATCCGGTGTTCATGGAAATGTTTTTTTCTTATCTAGAATTTTCTTCTTATCTAGAATTGTAACATTTTCCTCATAAAATTTTCCTCATAAAATTATTAAATGGTGGCTATTTCTTGAAATTGGTATCTGAAATGTACAACACATTGTAAATACACGTGTCAAACGTTCGCAAATTCAATTCTTACTGTTCTGATTTCTCGTTGAAATATTTTATAATTATAATAAATAAGGGTATCGCTTAGATACAAATCGATACATGTGAGGTGAAATTCGCGTTTTCGTGAGAAAATACTAACGAAGATTTCGAAGTAGAAGAATGTTACATTTTACAATGTTTAGCAGGCTTTTCGCACAGTTACGATCAGACGTATTTCGTTTTGTACTTCAACACAATGTATATACATTGGTTAAATTCAGCTTCGGTGATAATAATGAAAGGTTCGTCGACGTGGTATCAGCGTAACCCTCGTATCTCACATACAATTTCCTCGCTACTTTCGAAAAAATTACCTCGTCACGTTTTATGAGTTGTACCAGTTCGTACTTCTAAAAGAGGTACTGTACGTCGAAATTGTACATCGTATAGCGAACATCAAATAGCTACATGTGTCGTGTGAAGACAGAAGCATAGTCTTATCTTGTTTTTGCCTTATCTCTAACAAATTATCTTTAAGAAATAGTAAAAATTTCCTCTTTCTCTTATTAGATATTTATTAGAACTACCGAAAGAGAGAGAGAGAGAGAGAGAGAATGGGGGGTCACATCATTGTTGTTGTGACAAAGCGCTGACAGAAATATAAATAATATTTCTCGAACAATCTATTTCGAAAGAGGTAGATTCGATTATTTTCAATTATTCCAAAATTTATTGCAATTTATTAAATGCGCTCCGCGATCTATGTGTCACTTTCGTATAACGTTCGACGACGTGCCGAATGGAATATACTAAGGATAATAATACCGGCGGCCACGTCAAATGGACAACTCAATTATTGCAGCGATATTCTGTCAAAGCGAATACATTTGCGAATAAAAGAAAGCTCGTATGCCTCCCGGATATGATTCCATAAAAGCTTCTATAGGTTGACATGCGCGGAATTCGACGTAATACGCGTACGTGGCACACACAACGGATAGAATTGATCTTAGATTCCGCTTCCGCGTCTTATATTCTCATCGTTGAAAGAACCATACTTCTTAATACCGAGCAATCCCGATGCGCTATGCATTTCATATTTCACAATTGTTGCGAATGTATGGAATTCGATGCGCTAATATCAACACACTGCCTCGCACTACTCCGTTAAGTCACTTTCCAATTTTCCAGTCACTGATTTACACGTCCTATCTTAATACTTTTTATTTCCCATGATATATATCAATCGTACGAGATCGATAAGATAATATGGAAAATAGACTTCCCGTATTGAAAGACATCGTTTATTATTCGCGTCGCGGCACAGCCGGTTATAATAGCGGAATTGACAGCAATGTCTGCGCGCTGTATTATTCGCTTTCGCGCAACAAATACCGTGCGTCAAATTGGCACAAAACGTGCGACCGACTTACGTAGAAGGGTACACGATCGTCGTCTTTACAAACGTGTCCTTTTGAGTTCGCGTATCTTCCTTCCGCAGATTCCGGGAGGTCTTCCTATCGATACGTTGTAAATGCTGCCTCGTCTCCCTTGCGACTACTCGTTTCTCACGCACTGACTTACCATCACGAGGCTTTGCTTCTGACTAATAAGTTCGATTACTCGCGCCCAAGTATAAATAAAAGAAAGCAACGCGATAAAACACTGACATTTAAACCTGTGTAATTTTTAAATGTAAATTAATGACACGTGCGCACTATCGCGCCGTATAACGGACTTCTCGAGATAAAGCGACTTATTGATACAAAGACGGTATATTGCGAATGTCACTAGACCTCCACACTCGGTACAGTAGCACTCAGACCGGAGATTAATCCGAATAATGCGCTCAACTAACTCAGGGTCTTTTCCACTACTTACGGTACACGACTCATTCAATCGACACTTAGGAAGAAATAACAAGCCGTGACTATGGGTGTATCGAAGGGCTGTTACTTTCCGTAGTTCTTCAGGTAGTTCTATTATTGATAATACTGTTTCACTAATTATCTATCGCAATTGATTGCGTTTTAAAACAGGCTGTACGTGAAAAAAGATAGGAACATTAATAAAAAATATTAATCAGACGATAAAAATATAAAAATGCTAAAATAAATGGAAGACTAATGGAAATATCAAGCAATTCGTGTCATTGCGTGTATATGCGTGTTGTATATCTTATTGTATATTTTAAAAACATATCGCAAGATGAATGTTGACGTCTGCGTCTTTGCGAAAGGTTATCGCGTGCTTTAAGCGTGCGCTTCAATCTCGATCATGAGCTCGTAATTCGCAGTCAGCACGCGACGCAAAATAAAATGACTCTGACACATTGATAATGTAGACGGCAAACGATACAAATTTTTGCCCGAGAAAATCTAAGAGCTGCGAAATAAATTCTCGCTAGGCACGCGTCTGCCTCCGCGAATTCCATCAGAAATCGCGTGCCAAAAATCTGGGACATCTCGTTTATTTCTGTGCAACTTTTTCCCCTTGTATAATAATTTTATTTATATTGCTCGCGAATACCTCTATTTTTTTTGTTAATTTTAGTTTCTCAAAGGGATCCGACGTTAATTATTTTCACGTTGCATTTCATTTGGCAGGGTCATTGTTGTTTAACATCTTTCGTTTGCTGCTACAATTGCATATATTTACTTCGCAATACACGATACATAGAGACAAATATTAAAAGTTTTTGCAATCTAATCCATTTTTTCAAAACATCGAAAATGGTGGGAAATTGTAGTAAACACGTGTCAAGGCGACTGGTGGCAGGTGTCAATCTGTTCCTTAACCGACAATCGCGAAAACGCGATCATAGTTATGTCGGATTACACAATTAGTGAAAAAATAAGCCCGAGGGAGTGCGCTAGGTACGCTCGAGCTCATTACAGGCGCGAATTCGCTCGTGTGGTTCCTCATTACCGATCTTCACGCCTCTGGTTAGCTGGAGCGTGAGGACCGGAGGCGAACGAATACTCGGTACATATATCGATGCCTCGAAGCGGCATGAGACTCAAATCTATTTGGACGATGCCAAGAATCGGTACTACATCAAAATAGCGAGACTGAATACACTTTTGGTATCGACGTTGTACTTTCGATACCAGATGGAAGTCCACCTCGCCGAGTGAGAAGTACGACGGAATCTCGGAGAAGGAAATTATTAATTCGTTACGCGGACGGATAAGCAGCCGGCGTATTTTTTTCATTTGCATTCGTTTTCATCAACTGTTGATTTCCATTAATTGTTTCGAAGCTTAACAAAGCCGGAATAATCAAAGAAATAATTCTATATATAATTTGCGATGCATAGATTTGCTGGCTCTCTCTTCGTTAGTTCTTTACTAGCCAGATATCTAAATTGAGATTGGGTGAACGTCTCTTGTACGCGAGTCAATGAGACGCGTATCGGCCGATCACCGGTCATCCCCGTTGCAACGGACGCGTCAACGAATTGTCTGCAAGTCTCGTTAATTCGCACTTATAAATGTGCCGCGATAGTCATTCATCAGCTCGAGAATCAGCAGGATCAGCTACGCCACGTTAGAACAGGAGGAAATGAAGAACAGCCAGCAGCATCATCGTCATCGAGAGCAGCAGAAATATCAGCAGCGCAGCGCAAGATAGACTGCAAGAGAGGCGAAAGATGTATAGAAAATCTGGCGGCGGGCTGGGCGGTGAATGACGTCACGTTGCTAAAGCGACGCGGCAACGCGAGGCGTCTGCGTGGGTCGGTGGGTGTCTGGGGCCGGGATCAATAGCGCGCGCCAGCAACCAGGTAGTAGGTATGGGTGCATGTAGCTTTCTCCACGGTGGCAGTCCAGGAGACGAACCTCGCGAGGTAGGACACTTTACGAGTCGAGGGAGAGAGAGAAAAAGGGAGTTCGGCCGGCCGCCAGTGTCGAGAGAGCGGCATTATGCCAATCATCGAGTGTAGCAGCGGGCTGCCGAGCATCTAGGACTGTCAGCTTCTCCAGGTAAGGGCCTTAGACCCCGCGTTTTTCCCTCCCGGCTTCTCTCGACCGTGGGAGAGCGCGCGCGAATCTCGTCCGGATCTCGGCGACATCACGGCGCGACGGACGTTCGAGATATCCCCGGGCGTCCCTTTCTATCTCTCTTCCTCGAGAGAGAGGGAGTGACAGCCCGGACGGTCGAGAGTGCGCGGCCGATCGAGTAGGAAGGAGCGGAAGAAGGCGAAAGGAGTAACTAGAGGAGGAAAAAGAGGGACAAGATAGTAGGTGGATAAGTAGTATGCACGCGCGCAGGTAGCTAGGTGGGTGACGGACGGATAGGTTGATAGATGGACATGGGCGGATCGACGGCCACGCCGTTACAGATAAATATGGGCAGAACGGATTCGCAGATACGGACGAGCGAATTGATAGGTCAATCGCTCGACATTGTCGAAGATTACGCGCGAGCGGAAAAACGTACCTCCTGGCGCGAAATCGCCGTAGTTGGGTCGCGCTACCCGGAGGGCTCGGAAAGGCGTTTGCTTGTTTTTCCTTCCTTTCGAATTCTCGGTCGGTCCAAATGAAGGGATAACAACACGCGCGCCGGGGGGACTGCGCGATACTTTGCGAATATTTCGCAGATTACGAGATAAGAGAGAGTACTTGGGCGGGGAAAGGCGAGTTACTTCAACAGAAATTCTAGGACAGGCTGATTTTTTTTTCACGCGCGCTCCGTCCAAAGTCCCGTCCCCTTTTTTTGCCGCTCGCCCGTTGGATCTCGTTTAATGATAAACGTGACGTATATTCCGCCGTTACAGTTGCATCAAGATTGATGAATTGCAGGGACGCGTCAAATGTACGATGCAATCTGCGGCGCAAATGCATTTTCGAGCGCTTTATTTACCCCCCATTAAATGGCTTTTGTCAATCAATGACTGATTACGTAGCGATGATCCGTTTCATGCGATAAGCTAATTCGTCGCGGATGAAATCGATGCATTCGTTTATGGTATCATTCCGCGATGTTGACAAAGACGCGAACTATGACACGAAGCGTGCGCTCTAAATCGCTTGCCAGGCTCTTCGCACGCTCTTCTTTTTTGCCGCCATTTGTCAGCTGTGCGCCTGAATTATAAGTTATGGTGTGGTCCACAGCTTTAGCGCGAATAGACTCCCAAGAAGAAATCGATGCTCCCCTGATACGCCATGAATCTCGATAAATTTCGGAACGCTCGATTCGTTGGAAGGATGTCGTTTCTCCGTGCGAAAAGAAAAAGATTTGTTTCGACATTTATACGGGGTGTTGCACGCTCGTCGTCGCAGCTCGTTCGCTGTCGTCTTAAACATGACTTCGTACTTAAAATGAACCTTATGAATTATGGACTCTCTCTCTCTCTCTCTCGTGCTCTCAGCCGGAGACATTTACATCGCACTCAGGGCGCCTTTTCTAAGGAGATAAAAACGCAAATAGACGTCGTAGGACGCGAATAGAGCGATAGGGGTGGCTTTTTATCTCTGGCGCCGGTGATACGCTAATTCGCTAATGACGTGTCAACGAAACGAACAGCCGGAGATGTTGCGCCGCGATAAGTATCCTCCCTGACATTGTTGCTACAAAAGCATTTCTCGTAACATACCTTGCTTCCTCGCGTTTGTCGTACGAAGCTTGTTGCACGCAATCACCTTAATCGCCGTCCGGCCGAAATCGTTCTCGCGTCGACACACGTGCACGCTGATTACCGGTGTAATCAAGTGGCAAATGGCAAATTGCGCGTGATATTCCACGACGGAAGATCGCGATGCGAATTAACGCTTAACCGCTCTCCGGATTTCGACGGAGTCGCGACTGAGAATACTTGAAGAATCGCGGGAGAAACGCGCTTTCAACGGTGGATTGAAAATCACGCGCGAGATCTCGGCAACAATGGGAGGCAGGGGAGGGTGGAAACTGGCCGCGAAGCATTCAAATGGCCGATTAGGTCTCTCGAGTAGCTCTGTCCGTGGGTTCGAGCGAGGTCGGGTGCTCTCGAAACTTTCCCCGATATTGCACCATATTCCGCGCTCTTAAAACATCCCTAATTATCCGAGGATCGCCGAGCGGTTGCTAATCCGCCCGGTGCACCGAACTCGAGGTACACTGCGTGGATCCCCACGTGCAGCGGCGATCGTCCGCTTTTTCCGCGCGGGAGTAGGTCGCTTGTGCGTATTCTGGCAGCGGTTCAACTACCTTGCTTCACGGTCGGGGCAAGCGTCCAATACGCTGTTAGACGAACGGACAAACAGAATGGGTCGTCATCCAAGGACGAAGAGGCACACGAAACGGGTGGAAGACATCCGCGGGCTCAGTGACACGCGAGCGCCAATCGGCACCGTACCGATTTCTCTCCCGGCGTGCGAACCCAAATCCATACACGAGAGGGAGAGATAGATCGATCGATAGACGCGCGTTCGCTTCTCGCGATTTAATCGCGCGAGACCTCTTGTGCGGCACACGCTGAGAAACACAATCGTCTTCGCCGTGCTCAGATACGTCGCACATACGTCGGCTTAACTCGATCGATCCTCGGGATTCGCGGAGATGAAGGTAGGTGTTCGATCTCACCTCCGACTATTTTCGCGTCTGGCTAGAACCCGCCTTCTCGGCGAAACAACAATGCAAGTTTTAAATTCTGACGCGGCTTAACGGAATGCGTCGGATAACATTAAAACGTCCGTGAAGACGTCCTTCGAACATACGTGTTGTTTAAACCTTTCGTCGTCCGCGCGAAAACGATAATATCTATCGCACAACTCAGCCGAGCGATGACGTCTCGCAGGGGAAACCGGAGCGATATGTAGATCGCGAAATATAAGTTTAATTGTCGCTAATGCGCGGCAGGGACTCTTGTGAAGATGTATGCGTCTTGTTCGGTTGCAGGCCGGCGCAATGTGGCCTGGAGCACTCCCGTTACTGGTGTTACTAGCGGTCCTGCTGCATCCATCGAGGTAGGTTATTTCGCCGATATCCTCGAATGGTGTATCGGATTTCCGACGACGGTGCTCCTGCGGTAGAACGCGTTTCACGGCCGCGCGAATTAATATTACAGTCGCGTTTTTGGAGCGGCGTCAAGGCGACACGCGACCGCATAAGCGATGGAAGTATAATTCCGGGGGGGAGGACACGTAAAGATGTATGTTATTGACTCGGTGTTATGGTGCATAAAATTTATGCGGGGGAGCTCATATGTCCCATTCCGTGTGCGCGAACAGATTGCGCGAGCGAAATTATACGTGTGTGAGAAAGACGGATCTCAAAATGCGAGAAGACCTCTGGGAATACAACACAGATATCCTTCCAGGCGATCTGATGCGTCTTGCTTATCTACGCGAATCTTGATTTCCGATATTAAAAGAGACTTTTTATTCTACGTCTGTAGTGTGAAAGAGCACTCGATCCCAAAATCAATCATTGGTTCGAGTAACGCGCTGTTACGACTGAAGACGATATGTAAAGCGGAAATGCTTCGCGCAGCTCTCGCGTGAAATCGACCTGACGATATTCGCCCTTCGTTTTTGCAGATGTACGCAGGGAAAGGTGAACTTCCGAGAGAAAGAGAAGCAAGTGCTGGACAACATTCTAGGACCAGGCCGGTACGATGCGCGCATCCGGCCGAGCGGGGAGAACGGAACAGGTGAATATAGAGATTCTTGTACGTCCTTATTACTCCCTCCGCCCATCCTCACCATGTACCGTAATTGTACCGACATTTCTCGCGGCAAATCAGCCTGTGAATGTAGGGTGGATAAGGGGAAAAAAGATAAAGAGCAAGAAAGTAAGAAGAAAAAAAAACACTTTGGCGGAAGGTTAAGCCCGCCAAGTGCGGAAAATTGAATGCGCGAAGCGTCGTTAATGCGATGCAACGCGGACGACGAACGCGTCTATTGACGATATGATAAAAAGCGAACGACGTGAACTGCGAGAATTTTTCGCACGTTGTGAATGCATACCGGAGCGGCGAGAAATTTCTTCATAAACTTGGCTGTTCGGAACGAGCGGTCTCCAAAGTCCATGCAGATCCAAGACGCGGGACCATCGATCGAATCTTGCACTCGTAACATGTCGTTCCTTCTGCTCGCGCGGGATGCATGTTCCCATCGGTAATTCGCGGAAATGTGCGAGCAAATTGAGCCGTGCGCGGGGATGATCCAAACTTTTTCCTGAAATTGCGATTTCGCGCCGAGTGTTTCGGAAGTCCATCCCTCGAAGTGAGTCCCATCAGTGACGAAACACTCTGCGCGTCGCGTCTCTCTCCCGACACATCGCGAAACGTCGGCTGATCCCTCGCGCAAAATAGGCGTGAATCTTGCCATTTCGCGAGATCTCGTCGTTTTCCGCCCGCCCCGCGGAGAGCTGCGTACAATTCGAGCGAAACCGTCTTCCAATCTCCTCCACATTACGTGCGCGAGATATATCGGCGGTTTTTGCGACGTGGCAATTTCGGAGCCCTACATGATCCTCGGGGGCGGAATCGATCCTTTCGTCGACCGCGTCTCGACGAGCATCGCACAATTCCAACTGCGATTCCTGTAGTTAGCGGGAGGGCGACTCGGCGCGCGCGACGGACGTCCGTTTGGTGGTCGTCCGGCCGCCTAATCGATTAAATTCTCAAGTGGCCAACGGCGGCCAAAACAAACTAATTAAATATCAAAATGACAACGGAGAGCCTTCTGCGCTCGGGAGTATCGCTTTCGGAGTCGCTCGTTCGTTTACTTACTACACGTTCGTCTCGAAAGTAAATTTATGAGCCCGTTGCTAACCACCACGACGATCGCCGAGTAAACTCCGTAAAGCACGTTACATTATTTTCCGAGCTCTCGCGAGAGTCGCTCGCGAAAAAGATCCTCCTCGCGCTCAAGCGTCCCGTTCTTTTCGATTTCCCGCTTGACGCGTTAACACGAGGCATCTAACGTGGGCGTTTAAAGAACACATAATGCTACGTGATGACACACTTTTTTCAAAGAAGATCTAATCCACTACTATTACTACTACTACCGCTACTACTACATTACTACTACTACCACCACCCACCACCACTACATGTCGGGACTCCGTTTTCGTGAAGCAGAGAATAACGCTGTGACGATGTTCGTAAATTCTCTCAAACAGGTACGTAATTTACGCAGTTTACCGTCGCCGGGTTGAAATCGCGATACGATTCTATCGGGCCCTGTAAACAGGCGTGAAAGAGTAATGGAATGAATCGGCGCGATAACACGTGGTAGTAAAACCGAGGAGCGGCGAAACGCTCCCTGAGCACGCTCGCTGCCCACCTGTATATCGCGCCTCGATTGGAAGAAGCGCGCGCGGGGATTCCTTATTATTAGCTGTTTACGGGCGTGTAAAGACTTTTTAATCGCTCTCCGCTCCGGTGTCTTATTTCGCGTCCGAGACCGCTTTAAAGGTCGCGTGAACGACGCGCTCTTGATCGTTCTCGCGTATCAGCCGACTTTTTGTGCAACAGCGCAACGGAAATTCATAGCCGCCACTCGGCCGGGGGAGCAGAACGAGATTGCGCGCGGATAGTTCCACTTTTTCTTTTCACCATCACGCTGCGCGGAGCATCGTCCGAGCCTCTCCCGGCCGTAATTTCGGAAATAGTCGATGCCCTTCGATCGATCGCGTATAATTTCGCCGCAATCACGGGCACAGCCCCGTTTATCGTGGGGTTAATCGAGCGTGAGAGTGCGGCGACGACGCGCCAAAGTCCGGCGTCTCGCGCTCTCTCCACCGGCATTCTCTTTCGCTCGCGATCGATTGAGCGACGCGGGGCAGCTGGTGTCGCTCTTTCATTTAGTTTTCGTTCCGTGCGAATCAGGAGGACGTAAATGCGATTTCACGAAGGGTGTAAATTCCCACGCAACGCTTCCAGTACACACACACTTTCACACACCCACGCTCTGTCAAGTCGAAAGGAGAAAAACAGTCACATCACTGTGATTCCCGTTGACGCAGGACTGGTGAGCAAACACGTTGCTTCGGCGGCCGAAGTAATCGCGGCCTCTTTAATGCCAGCTGCGGCGTTAAAAGGATACAATAGGTCGTTTGTAAATTAAGCGTTTCTACGAACCGTTGGAACAATGATAGATCTGTAACACGCGGATTGTTTTGGCTCGGGGACTATCCGTGCGCAACAATGTGTATGGCGTAACGAATGGCGTGGTCCCAATATCGATCAAACACGCTATTTGCGTCGCGCTTTGTCCGCGATAGCGCGGCTGATTTATATTACAATCTTGATGGACTGTTGTCGTTCAATCTTTCGCCAATGTCTTGCATTATACTCACCATCCATACCCGCGCGGGTATACCCACCTGGATTTATCATGGTAAAGGCGGGCAGGCCGCACGATTGATTGCGTGGAAAAAAATCTTACACGCAGAAGCATTTTACATACTCTCCTGGTCACGCGAAAATAATTGATTTAAACGAGTCCCTCGCGCGAGCACGACTTTCTCTTGCTTTTTCTTGCGCGTACAGACCCGAGGAAAGGCGCGCGTCTGCAGCAACGAGAGATTCAACCCTCCTCTTTAGCGATTATCCGACTTGGATCACCCGAGATGCGCCACACACACGAGGCGGGTCTTGAAAAATCCGGGAATTCGGGTCCTCTATTTTGGCCAAAGAGTCTAATTACACGAGGCACGGAATGCAATATTTGGCGCGTCCGATCCCTTCTCAAATAAATCACAAGACTATCACGGTTCGATAATCTCGCTCTTGGCGTGTTTAGCGCGTTTTTCGCGATAGAAAGGCATGTGTTTCTCTTGGCTCGTGTACGAACAAACAGAGTAAACCGAGATTTAGCAGGAAAATGTTATTATTACCGCTAATTTTATCGTTTAAGCCGGAATGGAGTCCGGGACGGCGGTCGGCGCATTAGCGAGGATATTACGCTGACCGCATCCCCTTTGTGGTTGCGCATCAGCTGTGTCTTATGCGCGCGTCTTCCGTCTGTAAAATGGTTCGCAAATCTGGACTTAATAACTGAACCGCCGTATGCGGCCGTAACGCAGCCTGAGGAAGATTCAATAACTGTAGCATCCGACGAGTGTCGTTAGAGCGCGACGGAACTCTGTTGCCGAATTATTACGAACTGCGCTGTACGGTGATTAATCACGCCATAGTCGCGCGGCGTCGCACGGCGGTGAAGAAGGAAATCGTCTAGATACATCGTCGCGCGAGCGTAAATATCCTTTCGACACGAACACATGGAAATGTCAAGGAAATCAACTGATATTGTCACGCACGTGAAAACTCAGGTCTCGCGTAGCTTGAAAAATAACGGATGAAGATTGAATATCGTTCTTAACGAGACCTCACACGACATTACGTACGGTAATCGAATGAAAACTTCCGGCTACGAAGTCGCGCGAAAAGTTTACTCGCACGTTATTCGTCAATTAACCCTTCGTAGAGCGGCGAAAATCGAGGATGACCCGCGGCAATTAACGCGAAATTAGAGGAACTTTGCGGGACATACATTTTGAAGGAGCAATTTCCACGCGGCTTGTTTTTTTTTTTTTTTTCTTTCTTTCCTCTTCTTCTCCTTTTCGTTTCGCCGAGAGCGGCGAGAGACTGTTTCACTCCAAGTTTCGGGATCGCATACCTCGCGCAATCGAATTAGCTGCTTCCTGACGTTAATTACATTGAAGTGGTGCAATTAGTGTATGAGAGGCAAGGGGACAAGACAAGAGGTGTAAACGAGAGAGTTTGTAAAGCGGTGTATCGACCGAATAAAAACCGGACTTGGCACGACGTCTTCGTGTTTACGTTGCGACTCGTCGTGCTGCGATCGAGCGGCCGAAAGGCAGGTGTTAACACGCGTAGAGACACGACAGAGGGAGGGAAGGAGAGAGAGGGATGGAGAGAAGGCATCGATTTGGCTGGAGTTCCTGGCTCGTGATCGGTATGCCATCCAACGCAGTTATGGGATTCATCCGCGGCCGGATTTGGCAGGCCGCGACCGGATTTCGCGCTGGACGGGTGGGGATGGCATTAACGTGAGATTTCGGCGAAGAGGGAAACGTCGTCGATATCCGGCGCATTTGTGCCCCGTCAGCTGCGCGCGATAATTATCGCGACGAGCACTTTGTAACACGACACGCTGTCGCTTAACACGCAGAAATGACTGTTTCACGCAAAAGCAAGTCGTGCCGCACGAACGAACGACAGCGAAGATGGTAAAAGCCGGAGGTACGCTTACTTCCGTCGATAAACAACCCTCGCTGCATATTGCTCCTCGCGAGTCCGCCTTTCGATCGCCGAGTCGTGCGTTCGAGCGAACAATCGGTTAATTCCACGTAGCTGATCGCTAATCTCACGATACACGCGACACACGCGTTGTTGCTTGCACCCCGTGCCGTTTGCGAGAAAGAAAAGAAAGTAAAGACTGCTCTTACCGAGATACCGAGATATCTCAAAGACCGACTGTAAGGGTTTCATCGGATTAAATCCGCACGCAAGAACGGTGTTCAGGTATGTAATTCACGATCCCGCAGTTTATTGTCGCGTTATAATTGGCTGACGACAGGGAAGAATTTGCGTGGGATTTTTCTCGAGAACGGTGCTGGGCCCGCCGCGACGATTATTCTTTCTCGGCTCTCGCGATGCCATTTTTTTCTACCATCGTGGTCTTCCACCGTAACCTTGCAACTTTCGTAGCTCGAATGTCTAAGAGAAAGAGAGAGAGAAAAAATAAGATGTCAGCCTAAATATGCAAATCCTTGGTCGACACTGTTCGACGAAGAGATAAGTTTCGAAAATACGCTTGTCTCACGCGATTTCGACAGTATCTCGGCCGAGTTGGACGACCTGTGACCAACAACTCACTCTATCATTCCGCACCTATTCCCCGATCAGCCCCGAAACGCGTCGAGTCTCGGTGGGACCGCTTAATAGATAATACCCGAGAGCGCAGTAAGATTATGTCGGAAACACAGTAGAGTATGTAAGCCACCAGAAATGCTGACTCACTAAAAGGGAGCTGTATTGTTTTTGCCCTTAGATGGGCCGGCCATTGTCCGGGTAAACCTGTTTGTGCGAAGCATTGCGACAATTAGTGACATCAAGATGGTAAGTATACGCTATAACACACAATCAAAGCCTTTAACTAACCGCAACGCGGCGCAACGCCGTTTCTCTCTTGCCGGCGGGTTCTCCCTTTCTTTATTTGTCTGTCACTTGCAAAAACGCAGTAGGCGCAAAAATAGGTTTAGGTCTCGAGACGAGAGTGCAAAATCCGAGAAAGAGGGTGTGTGTGTGTGTGTGTGAGAAAGAGCGAGTGGCAACCGGACGGGATGACCAGGCTGGCAAAAGCAACACACGCAACGTAGAGAGCAGCAACGTAGCAGAGTGCCGGTCAGCATCTTGCCCTCCTTTGCCCTCTAGTCCCCATAGCCTCGCCCGCCTCGGCGTTACTAGCCACCTCTTCTCGAGGGAACCACACACTACCCGACCACCACCGCTACCTTTGACTAAGAGACCCACCCCAGAAACTTTAGCACTCTAGCATAGACGCAGGCATGTAGCATTTCAGCTTATACATTTGCGTATGTTAGTACGTCGCATCGGAGAGACCATCGGGGACGCTGCGCAGTGTGAGGGCTAAGAGTGACACCGGAGCGTGTTTTCGGACGGGAAGAGTCGAGGATACGGTAATTACACTCGGACGGGGTCGTTATTTAGGCTCGGCCTAATAATACGCGCTCGGACGCGTTAATCCTCGGCCGTGCTCTCGATCTGACTTGAGGCAATTACCGTCCACGAGGGTCGACCCTTCCGGGTCTTATCTTATTTCTCTCGTTATATCGCCGGCCGGTGCCGTATATCGAGTGGCACCGCGACGAAAGAGGGAGGGAGAGAGTCTTCTGGAGGACATCCGAGCAACGTGTATGACCCTCTGGGCGTCCCTGGGATGATTTTTCGGGCTTTTACGGGGCTCGCGGAGAGTATTTCCAGCACACGCAATGAACGCTCAGCGCGATTTCGCGAAGGGACGATCGGCCGCGGCGCCCTGTCGAGGGCAAAATTTATGTTCCACGTAGGTAACGAGATTACACATACTAACAGCCGCTCCGGCCGGAAGTGCACGTCGGAGAAGTTACGTCGAACGCGTTCCGGCACTCTCGCTCGTACGTGCTAGGCTTACCCCATCGGGCCTTCTTCGTTTCTAACCGTGTAAAACGCTGTTCGCTCGGCCGATCGAAGAGCGATGTCACGAGGAAGCGATCGATCGATCCGTTGTATTATACGTATCCCAACGATACCGTTCCGACTTTAATTACGACGACGGGATCTCTGACGGAGGGAACATTGTTTATTCCGATAAATGATTGCGCGAAATGAGACGATTTTATAATTAAATGGCCGGGAGACGAGCAATTATCCTGCAGACCGATCGTGCGATTTCTCCTTTGCATATTACGCGAATAATTCAAACGTCGATTCAGAAAAGTTACATTCCCGTCCGATAAAGAAGAGGTCGGCCGTACGAGTCAATCCACTTTATGCCAATTGCTCTTCGACGGCAGAGAATTTATCACCCGAACTTGAGGACGCTGAAATTCCACCGGGTTTCGAAACTTTGTCTTATTGGGTATCCGATACCGTTCGATACTTTCAGGGATGGGGAAGGGACAGTAATCGAAGAAAAGTTTCTCCAGGACGGATGAGTTTTGGCGGAATCAGTCAGTGCAGCCGATTAAGGTGTGCTCGCGGGAAGAATGTCTGTCGCGTTTTTACGCGATCGCATTCATTTCTCCACGCATATATTCCACGCTTGTTTTTAGCCGACTAGCCGACGCGGTTTTCATCGAACTTATCGACATTCATATCGCGACCATTTCTGCCAACGAAAGGTTGTTGCCTCGACGATTTCAAAAGTGCGACGATACCCACTCGAGTTTGGCTGCGTTCTAATATTCGCTGCCAGCGCGAAAAATCTACAGCAAACTTTATGCGAATATCAGAACGCAGCCCTCGTAGTAAACCCGCTCGCGAGAAATTCCGAATTCAGAGCTCGTACGGTCGAAGGGCGAGCGCGCGCGATATCGACGAGGCTGGGGATCGCCGGCGACCATTGCGTGTCCGACGTCTTGTCCTGGTTCATGTAGGGCGGAATGGTACGCAAACACTCTGTATGGCTCAGGACGATACGGCTGGCTCGTTCATGCTGCGGACAGTAAGACTCCGGATGATGGTGACGTAACGGAGCGCGCCGGCGTTTAACGGCTGATAATGACGCCGCGAGCTTAATCGCCCTTCCGATAGCTGTCGATAGCCCGCTGGCGCAATAAGTATCTAATCTACGCGAGGTTCCCGCGAACGGTACGATAAATATCCGCGCAAGAGCTGAGAGAAGACGATTGGCTTATTAATCGCCGTCGACATGAGAGATTTTGGGATGTCGACGTTCCCTCACGACGATAAAAATCGTCGCCGCAGAGAAACATACATATACACACATACAACACACACACACACGGTTCACGGAATAATTGAAAAAGTTGAAAAACATCCTCGCTTACGGGGGAAATGGATTGGCTGAACGATAATATCTTGTAAATTGCGTGTTATTCCTGTCTTTTAACACCCTCCCTTTCCCACGTGTAACATCCGTCCCGCGTTTTCCGCGCGCGCACACGACGCCGATGGTGGTTTCACGGCATCGGTTTCCTAATATCGTCAAATGCCGTTGGCGATTGACGTGAAGGCGTTTAACATAGTCGATGCATCGTCGTTGATGCATCGAGTTTGCCGCTCGAAAGGTTAAATGCACTTTCGGGGACGGAACGCTCCAGCTGAAATCGCATATTCTCCTCGCTCGCCACGAGCGCAACGATGTTAGACGCGCCATATTCGCCGTGCGTATTTTTTGTGCGTGACATTCAAAGGGCGGGTATCTCGCTTTGATGCTAATCGTGATGGCGGCATGGAAATTTTGTTCGATAATATCGCGAGCGCAGACGGGTCTTCTGCTGTGCCGAGCAAAGAAATTCTCGCAAGCCCCACCCCCTCTATGAATATTTTTCCCCGTTTTTTTATTCGCGCGTCTGTAGGGAGAAAAAGTGAGAGAAAGGGAGGGAGGGAATGCGCGTTAATTCTTTCCGACGTTTTGCCACGCGTGTATTTCGGGGAGCATTTTTGCGAAAATAGAACGGCGAATCTCGAAAGTCCGCCCGAGCGAACGAATCTCGCGACACGAATATTTTCTCCGCGACTATCCGCGGCCTTTTATCAATTTTGCGTTTTCGGCGTCTCGCAACGTTCCTCTGCATTTCGACGAGTTTCAAGGGAAAAGAAACTCGTTGGGAGACACGTCGTCGAATGTTGTCATCGATTTTTCATCGCGCTTCCGCTTGATTCTTCATATTTCAATCGCTCGAATTGCAATTTATTTAGCTTTTCCGTTGATCCGTATCTCGTGATTCGCGTCGTTCGCCCCGTTTGTATCGATTATCCTCGACGCCGGTTATTTCCTACGGGAGCATCGATTCCGTGCGGGTAAACAAGCGCGAGCGGTAGGAGAAAATTCGCTTCGCGGAATCGCGGCGCGACCGATATTCCCTGCGCATTCCGCGAAATAAAACGCCCGTTCGTCGGGCGCGATCGTATTTCCGCGGTCGCGATTCTTCGACGCGCGTCTCAGGCGTGAGAATACGGAAAATCGAGTTTGGAAAAGTGGCCGATTACGCCGGCGCGAGGAAAAGGGGGGACTGCGAAGGAAACGGCGAGATCCATAGATCTGGCTCCTCTTATGTACGGTCAAATCTACGTCGTTATGAGGATCGTGTTTTAATGACGCGTGGTAATAGCGGAGCGCTTTCGACGTGAGTGATAAATTTCCGCGTTGGGAGACGGTGCGCACGGATTACGCGCGCGAGAGAAAAAGAGGGAGACTATTATGAAACGACGGGTGTAATGCGCATAAAACAGCGTGCTTTGTGGAACAACGGGATGTTTACTGCCGCGTGTTAAGATGACGGTTAAACGTTTTCCCGGTTACTTTTTAACGATGGCGATACGTACGGGTGTTTGAGATTTTGATTTTTACCCAGAACGCCGTCCGGGTCGATGTCCTAAGGCCGATCCGGTCGGATCTTACGTTTCAGATCGTCTTGAGTTCGCGCGGATCGTTTCATCGACCACGATGCATCCGAGGATGAACTCGAGACGACCGTAAATATGAGATCTGACTATGAGTACTGGCCTCGAACGAATGAGAGATGTCTCTAGTAAGATACGTTAAGTACATTTCACCACGAATCGTCGCCGATCGCAGGTGATCGAGATTAACCACACACGCACACATCTCTCTATCGATGTATCTGACTGCTGCTCAGCGATTGATTAATTTTGTTTGTTCTGTTTGCCATGTTAGATGGGCCCGCGGTTGTCCGCGTCAACATATTTGTTCGAAGTATCTCAAAAATAGATGACGTTACGATGGTAAGTTGAAAAAAAAAGAATGCCCCGTGAACCACACAAAGCCTCTTATATATTATTATTATCTACACACAAGTAACGTATTGCTGGGTGTTTCATCATCATGTACCAATCAGAGCACATACCCGAGGAGGAGTACACGTCGGCGTAACGTACGCGTCAAATGCCGTGCGATGATTACGTGCGGAAGGCCGCCGCCGCACTGATGGCGGCCTCTCCTCGGCAAACTCGACTCGACTTTTTCTCAGCGGCTTTGCGAGATACTTAACGCGCGTAGGACGGAAACGCCGCCCTGTAACTAGACTTCAAAGGTGCAGATTGGCGGCAAATATTTGCCCTCCGGTTAATTTCAGCTGAACTTTGTGTCAGCGGAAACTCCGCCGCGGAGAGAGATACTCGTTCGCTCCGTCGTGACGGTGGGAGAGAAGTCGCGAAAGACCGAAATCTCGCTGAGGAAAAATCGCGCGAGCGTCGACGGAACGTTCGCCGACGTAGTCAGTGGAAGAGCCTGTGTTTTGCGCAAACCACACCTAAACACATACCTACACATCTATTTATTACTTTATTACCATTATATCGCTGTATAGTATTCCTTCTCTAATACCCTTTTTGATCTCACGATGTATAGACGACACATTTTCAATCTACTTCTTTGTGTCTCTCTCTTCTCCTCGTGCTAAACACCACCAAAACACCGTATCTCGAGGCCCGCTCTCTCGTGGCTCTTTTGTAACTCCACCTACAACCATATTCGTTAAGCAAGTATCTTACTCTGTATGTCTATGAATAAGTCGAAACTTACGAATAGCACGACGCCGTGCCACGATATATTCGCTCTCGTCGGTATTAAACACCGGTATTACTCGTCGCGCGACCAAGACACGCATTTCTACTTCACTTTTGCGATAGTTGTTACCACGTGAAATTCAAGGTAGGAATAGAGGGTGCAGAAATGCGATACTCTGACCTGCTCACGCGGCAAGTGATGTGAGTATACATGCAAATTGCAATTTATAAATATATATATTTCAATTATATAATATTATTTTATTCTCTAGAATAATGATCCGCGACACGTTGGTTAGAATCTAAAAGTTACCGCAAAGTCGAGCGAAACTGTATGTTGCGGTTGACACACTTTTGTTAACTGGAGTAACTAAATTTAATATTCGTGGAAACAATTTATATAAAGAGAAACACACATCTCGCTTTGTCGAAACTCGATCGCGCGGAAATTACATCCTCGTATATTAAATGGCGTCAGATTGGTTTTCTTATTCCGCTACAATCTCATGGATGGATGGATGGAATGAAGGAAGGAAGGAAGGAAGGAAGGATGGATGGATGGATGGAGCCGCTTCTCCCGCGATATTTCCCCGCGATTTTTTCCGCTTCGCGTCGTGCTATGCGTAATTACGAGATTCCATTAGACTATATATATATATATATATAGTACCGCTGTTGTGTGGTAGATGATTTGATGGAGTTTCATCCTTTTGACTTGTTCCGATTATGTTTATCCGCGTTGAATCTTTAATGCCAAATATATATATTATACACATATATACAAGCTGCCTCGCAATACAGTAGACACGTACATATCACATACAAAAGTGTACGAACGTTTCTCCCTTTATCTCTCTCTCTCTCTCTCTCTCTCGTCTATCAGTCCTCATTTATTCGTGTCTCTTTTTTCGTCTACCTTTCTCTCTTTCACGGTATCATAACGATGCTGGTCATTTTATTACTTATGTATGTATATACGTGCGTGACTCTCAACACACATACTATTACACACATATTACATTACAAGACACGCATTACATATGTACATATTTCGACAAATGTAACTCGATCCTTTATTGCACCGTGCGATAACACACTCGCTAAGGCATTTTCGTACTGCTACAACTCTGCAGTAGTGTGCAACTTCTTTTATCTTATTCTTGTTCATGACACTCTTCTTATTGCTAACAGAGAAAACCGTGCATTACCTGTATGTTATTACCCCCGTTATAAACCTACCCGTATATGAGAATGCGACAGTTGGTACGATATGCGTACGCGGAGTGGAAGCGGTCTCTCTGCAAGTGGTCCTTGTAATAATCGTTGCGGGAAGAAGCAAAAGCGCAAGTCACGTCGGCGGTGTAATCGCTAGCGTGAATCTACCGCTCTCTAATGCGGTCGCGATTAATGAAATTTTTCGAGGGCCGCATTGCGCGCAAGATTTACATTTCGCGGACGCTTCATTTCTCTTCGCGAACGTGCGGTGCACGTATGTACATATATAGCTTCGCCCGCTATATTTATCGGGAAGGAGTGGGTCGGGCGTCCCGTAATATTTTTCCAAGCGAGCGCAACGAAACGTTCGTAAGAAGAACCGGCGATTACCGGCAAGTATCGAGCGCAAACTGATCTCGCTTCATCGATCTCTCGCGCGAGAGATGCGCATTCCTCACGGCATGTGAACAACGAGCGGCCGGAGTACACTTTTAGAATAATGACGAGGAATGCTGCGCACGTTTGGCAAATACGCTCATTTGGCGGAAAATAACTCGCCGTGAACTTTTCGCGAGCGGAAACTACGACGACGACGGAGCAAGGACTAACCGCGAATTGGCAATCGACTTCTCTCTCTCGCATTGGCGGTAGGTGGTAATTAAACGGGCGATGGTAACGATTAATTATATACGTGGGAACACGACGCGCGCGGTCGGTTCGCTTAGTTACAGAGTTCCGATTTTCCGGCGCGTCTCGCGGTGCCGCGAACGAAACGAGCGGTTCCGGGCGCGCGTTTTACGATCGAACGATTAACCTCGTAACCGGACCGCCGTTTAAATATTCACGTGCTAAGCGCGAGGAGATGGTGACTTTTAAGAATTGATCGAGCGTGGCGAACGTTCGAGTATTTATTCGATATCCGTCACCGAGGAGACGACGGCGGTTCCACCAGGCCGACGTTGTAAAATACGCGTCGTACATATTTGTACACGCGGCGAAACTTTCGACTTGCCGATACCGTGTCGTGCAACGATATAGTACGTATTCAGCTTTTGCTTGCGAACCACTCGGTTAATCGCAACGGATCTCTAAAATCCTTATCTCCCTGATTAACCGTCGCGGAATGGCCTTTCTCTCGTCGACGGCGCTCGGATTTTGCCGTTCTCGAGTGGCCCACTTCATCGATGCTCTCAGTGCTTATCGTGCGGCGCGTCTAGATATTGGATATACGCGATGATTTGATAAGAAAGACGAAGGAATCAAAGGAAAAAGTATACAGAGAGAGAGATCGGCGGCACAAACTAAATAAATCTCAAGCAAGTCGGCGAGACATATTTTTGTTTATCGTCGTAAACATCGACGAAATTATTTTCAGCGGCTCGTTACATCCGCTCGCACCCACCTGTTTGTTTGCACGCGCCGGATTGAGAATATTAATTTTAATCCACCGATATATAACACGTCAAGAATAACGCGTTTCCCAGTTCACGCTAGTCTCGTTGCACAATGAACCGCGGTGAGACTTACGACTGGCCAGAGTACACGAGTCAGGAAAGATAATTTCTTTATCGTCGGCAGTCAAGTCTCGACGAGCGGAATCTGCGTTCTACCCGCCAGGGAGAAGAATACAACGACGAGAAACGTCGGTCGGTTAATTCGTTCCATCGTCGCTCTCGCGCGGAAGCGATCGTTCGCTTTCGAGAAATCTACGATTGTCGCGCACCGTACACGTGGCGATATCCGTTTAATGTATCCGCAGCAGTCCGATCTGCCCGGCGCGTTCCGCATCTCGGCTCGTATCTCACAACGGTTATTCGAGAATATCATAAAGAGATCCGTAATCGCAATTAAAAGTACACGAACGATTAGCCGATGTGCACGCGCGAGCACTCGGCTAAACTCGGCGCGAATTATCTTTCCTCCAAGACGGACGATAAAATAGGGACCGACCTCTCCTTCGCGCCTGAAATGTTTTTAGATGTTAGAAGTTTACGACGCGATTCTCCGCAGCAAGAAATCTTCCCCGGCATGAATTCCGTGGGATCGTTAAGGGCCGTTTCCCCACAAGTTAATGAACGTTAAATTGACGGAGCGCGAATTTTTTAACGATCCGTTATCTCTGTTTAACAATCAGCGTCGGCGGACACGTCGGCGGGACGAAAAGAATTGTGTTTCAGGGCTTGTCAAAGATTTAACGGACGTGGCCGTTAAATCGATACCTTCCTCGCTCTGCGGGGATACACCGCGCGCGCACCGTTGCACACGCATCTCATCCGCCTACGCGCTTCTCAAACTCGGTTTCGCTCTGTATCATTTCCCTTTGACTTTTTAATTATCGATTCTCCCTGTCTTCCCTTATTAACGGACATCGTTCCCGATACGTCGAAACGCGCGAGCGAACCGCGTTGTTCCGGGAGCAAAAATGTTGCGCAACCTGACGAGAAACGCGTCTTTTGTGAATTCGCGTTCCGAATCGATCGGTGTTAAAACATTCGCGAATTAAATGGCGCGTATAGGCACAGCGTGTGAACCCGCGCGACGGATGTAGTTACTTGATTACGCTATTGCGTGCGAAAATATCTGCGAGTTTTTTTTTTCATACACACACATATATGAGTCCACCGGTGTTTCACGATATCGATTAAATCGCTCCCTTCGATCGTGCCTGATAAAATATCCCTGGGCAGCATACGATTGCTGCGTCTTTCACGTTGTAGCGCAAGAGAGAGATCGGTTGGGAAAGCCACGCACGATGATTCGATAGTTCCGACGATGCGTTTCTCCCCGTGCGAATTATCACCGATACGCGAGCCGTTGTATGTGACAGAGAAAACGAAAGAAAGAAAGATAGGAAAGGAGAAAAAGGAAAATACAAACATGGCAATGGGATTCTAGGATGCTGGATCATTTCTAGTCCCGCGCACGACGACAACGACGTCGCGCGTCCCCGAGAGCAGCGTCCACGGGAAGCGAAAGATGCGAAATCGCGACAATCTGGCCCC